GGCTCTCTATGAAAGATAAGATTAAATCATATGACCATAGAAAATTTGTCTGAAAAGTATTGTGGGAAAAGTGAGCTTTGTTTTATTCATGTCTGGTAGAATGGTTCTCAACTGGGTGTCGTAAAACCAAAACCAAACTAATTACTAACCTACTCAGCCAGTCTCAGACCGTATTTAAACCAAAACCAAAACCAAAGTAATTGTCCGATTACTTTCGACACTCAATTGAAAACCGCTCTATTGTATGTTATTGTGTGCACGTCTTATTTTCACATTAGATGTGTCCATGGTAGCGGTCTGTTTTTGTGTACACTAAAGTGCTGTTTGTTTTTGTACTGCAGGCAAATGGTGGCAGTGGATATAGAGACCCATCTAGAGGAGGGGGAGGTGGCGCTGGTGGCAGAGTCGCCTTGTACTACCAGGGAGGATTCTTTGATGGCTTCTTAGAAGCTGCTGGCGGGATTGGTGACGTAGAGAATGGTGCAGCTGGAACTGTGTACGTGGAAAAAGCAAGGAATAATTCTGACCGTCCATATCGAACACTGAAGGTGGATAACAAGGGTCGATCACCGCTCACTGAACGAATCAATCAGGTACACAACGATTTTTAGTATTATTTTAGAAGAGCTCACTCACGTTTTTGTTTAGTTATTTTGGCCACGTATAAAATTACCTTTAAATTAAATGAAACCTGAAAAGAGTAGTTCACTAAGGATAGAAAAACACCAAAGAGATAATAATAAACCATGAAGAAACAAGGAGGGTTAAGGATGGAGAAGATTAACACGAATTACAAACGAGTATCTTGAAAAATTCAGGCTAAATTTTTTAAGATGTGCAAACCGTGACGTATGCTTCTTTAAGTGCGTTATTACTTTTTCCACACATCAGCTTGAGAACTTGGCAGGTATTCTGTAAAAGATATCGTCGCGTTCACGCAATGGTTTAACTCGCCATGTTCGTGTTGACTTCTAAGAGAGTAATTTTGGTTTTGTGTTGTTGATCATGTCGATGATAGGGTTGGCGTGTAAAGGTGTGGTTAAATTCCTACGGTTTTGGCCCCTACCCTTGGTGAATTAACCGCCGTTTTTGGATAACCAGCGAATAACTTACTCATCGACGTTTCACACGTTCGTCTTACGGAGCAAGCAGAAAATAATGAGCTAAAACACGTTGTCCTTTCTTCAGTTTAAAAGGCTAACGGAATGATTGCCTTAAGGGTAGGCTTCCCACTGGATCCTTTTCCGTTCTTCCCGTGGAAAGAGCAGGGGGAGGGTAGGAGCGGGATCACATCTGGTCGGCCCTACATCTTCACTGTGCTATTGGGGAGAAACGCTAATTAAGCGGCCAAATATTAAGGAGTCTTCATATTGCCTCTTGCAACTCATGATTCTACAACCTGATAGATTTTTTTCTAATACTACAGGTTGAAGAGATAAAACTTTATCCAGGATCTATGTTACATAGCTACTCGACGGTCTACACCAGCATAAGCGGACTGAGGCTTTCATCCAGTGGCGTCACGCAGTCCTACCATGAGGGGTCCAACCCTAACCCTCATTACTACTCCCTGTCACGGTTGTGTGACGGAAATCTTAAGAATGCTTACATAGTGACATCTTCCTACACGAATGTGGTGATCACTGTCAGCCTACCAAGGAACATGTTCATTCATCACATAAGAATTTATCCTGTATGTAGTACATACATGTTATTTTACCGGCCGGAAAGTCCGTATGGAAAAATCTGTACCCGAGATCTTGAGTACGACTCGAGGGCACAGCTTTTCCCATTGTGGACCGACCAAGGTCGGCAAATAACGTGTTTTTTGACTCTGTGTTGACTGTTTATATTTTACGTTGTTTTACGTTTTAACAAAAAGCTTGAAAAGTTTCCAAAGCTGGAAATCTCGGAGCGATCCGTAATCAGGGTCCGGATGGGAAAATCTAGACCGCAGGAGCGCGGGCGATTAGCTTATCAGATTCAAGGATTTTGGATTCCGGGCCGCTGAGAAGCTGAAGAAAAAAATAAACACTCCTCTGTCCTCAGCAATTTTGTTTACCTTTTAAGGCTTTTCGCGTTATATTGCTTTCTGTTATTTGCTTTTATTCCCTAACTTCTACGCTTGATTGACAATATAATTTCAGACATCATCAAACCATTGTTTAGAAAGTAAAGGAGATATTTTGTTGATATGTAGAGAAAATATTTGACAATCAATCAAGGAAGTTGCACTCCCTTTTTACAACAAGCATTTTTCTGCTTATGAGAAAGCCGAGGCTAAGAAAGAACTAGCTAAAACATGCCCAAGGTAGAAATTTAGTTCTCATTTATTCTGAAAACAAATTAAGTTATGAACAGCGTTTGTAGCTTGATTACCTTGGGAGTGCACATTCTTGTAAAAGTTAAAATCGTTTCAGAGTATCTACTACGACACTATTTTACTTCCAACGTAGTAGAAGAGACATTTACGAAGTTAGTCGCCAAAAAATTAACAACATTCAGCCTTACTCCCTTCCCCCTCAGAAAGATAATTGTTATAGTACATTTAAGAGTTCAGTATCTGACTGAAGGATATACAGTCCCGTTGAGACGGACCTGCTTTATTTGTTTCCTTTCAGTATTGCCATCAAGACTACCGCGTCAGTTTCCAGCTGACTGCAAAGCACGCTACCCTGGGAACCAAAGGTCCCAGATCATTTGCAGGCTGTTATGATACTTCTGTTTACAATGATGTATTCATGGAAGACACCATTTCGGAGTTTACATTAACCTTGACGCGGCTTGAATCCCACGTTGCCTTGAGCGAGGTTAAGGTCTTCGTCGGACGCGAAACCTCGTCTTTTCATGCGACCACTCTCGAACAAGACAGCTCGAGGACGTGGCTGGTGTTCAACGATCCCAGACTAACGACATTCGAAGTTGACGAGCTAGATATCCGCGGACACGCTCACCTCGGCGTTCAGAACAAAGCTGGTAGTGTAGAGCTCTTGGTGAATGAGTACAAGGGAGATTTTACTGCTACACTTCAAGTGGGTGGAGCACAGAGTGTCTTTCTGAACGCTAGCGCCAACTCGGTGATTCCTTTCACACTGAGAACGTACCAGGTGAAAGTTTATTTCACGTAACTCGTATGACATTTTCTGTTTGTTTGGTTATTTTAAGCCATATGTGTATTGCTTATTTGGCGCCGGCTTCTTTCAGGTCATCTTATAGGAACTATATCAGATTTCCTGTCTTGCCTAACAAGTACGTTCGCTAGCTTACGAGGAGCATCTCCTGTTTGGGCCGGGGCGCGAGTCGTGAAACACAGGCTATACTTCCCAAGTTCGTTATTTGTAATCCGTCTAAAACATCCTCAATCTTAACCACCTTCATCGTCTTCTTTGGTGCTTTTCCACTGCGTGGAAAACCGTTGTTTTCATGTTTTCTTTGACATTTATAAAAATTAGTGTGTTCATCCCTTATAAAACAGCACGTCCCCTTTAGGTCCCCTAAGTTCCCTTCCTCTTCTGGAGTTGAGAGGCGCCTTGACAAAAAAGGTGTCATTTTCAAGTATAAGAAAAGGGACATCAAGTTCTCAGGGCAGAAAGAAAAATAGAAATCTACTTGACCAGTGGACCAGTAAATTTCATTTTTCACTTGCCCGACCACTTGCCCCCACTTAAATGTTATTTGGCGATGTGGTGGATTCCTAAGTAATCCATGCTTTCAACCTAATGGTTTACTAATTTAGCAGTCTTAAGTTTTGAAACAGCTTCTGATTTGACATTTTTATTCAGACTCAAGACTACTGAGGCGAATTTCACTTTCCCCACTGGAGCTCACTGGGCCACTGAGCTTCTATTTTCACTTGGGCACGAGCAAAATTAACTTGACCCGGGCAATCGGACCCGGGTTTTTTCCTGCCCTGAGTTCTTATGCGTTATTTGCGTTGTTGTGAATGGAACACCTTCTAAATATATCTATAATTTGCAAACTGGGAGCGGCTCTCTTTTCTGTACGGTTGGTTGTAACCAATCGTTTTTCTAATCATTTTAGGGGTCAAAAGTTTTCCTCCCACGTGAAGTGTATCTCCAAAAATCGTCTATTTACGCCGAGTCGGAGCTGGTTGGACTTGCAAACCTCATAATCTCACACGACAGTCGCTTTGATGTCACGCAAGACGCGCAGGTCAACTCTCCCTCGAAAGCAACCGTGCTATTGGATCGTATCACCATCCTAAACGGAGGAAAATTTTACCAGCGGACCACTGAGCCTGCAAAATTAACTGTAAACCTCACAGGGGAGATTATCATCAACGCAGGCGCATCAATGGATGTCAGCCAAGTTCATCTGCAGTCCCATAACATCTTCATTGACATTGGTGGTGTTCTCACGGCTCGAGGCCGAGGATTTGCCTCGATGAGTGGTCTTGGTGCAGGTCGTCAATCTGCTATTGCTTCTGGAGCTGGCCACGGAGGGGCTGGCGGAAGAAGCTCTAATCAGCCGCTGGTTGGCAAGGCGTACGGCTCGTTTGACCTGCCACTCAATTTTGGAAGTGGTGGAGGACGAGGGCATCAGGATTTGGTAAGACTGAGTCTTCTTCAATTCTAGTTGAAATAGAAAGAAAACCACGGGCTTATTATAACCACTGTTCTTTCGACGTTTGTTGTTGCATCATGATATCCATGTTGAACAGGCCATTTCCGTGTTGGCTTTTGCCTCTGTGTCAAAACGAGTCTGTGCGAAACCATTCATAAGAAAATGTGTTCCGTCTACAGGTTCATTTCCATGTAAATCAAACTCATTATCATATGAAAGGTTTTGCACGAAGACTCGTTTTGAAAGAGAGGCACAGGGTAACTCGGAAATGGCTTATTTACTGACTTCCAATCTGAAGAATAAATTGATTAAATAAAACTCTGATTGGTTAAGACATTTACGAGCAGATCCAAACCTACTCATCATGACTTGGTAAAACGTTACTAGATAACACCGGATGTTTTGAGCGCTAACATGTTCTAAAACGTGCTTCTGTAACAAAATAAGGGCTAACGCGTGGAAACTTAGCTCACCACTATTTGTGATACATCTCTACTATAGTACACGTGCATACCCTATAGTTAGTCTGGAAATCTCCTTGATTTTCGAGATTCGTTGTTTCATTGTTTTTGTGTCATTAGCCCGGCAGTTCAGGAGGTGGAGCCATCAAACTCAGTGCCTCACACATTGCTCAAGTTGATGGGCTCCTTGACGTGTCAGCAGAGAGAGCTGTCAATCCAGGCACCGGTGGAGGAAGTGGTGGCAGCGTCCTTATCCAGTCAACACTGTTTCTTGGTAAAGGCAAGATAATGGCAGATGGTGGTGAGGTTGCCCCTGCGTCGTTTGGAGATGCTGGTGGAGGGGCTGGTGGCCGCATTGCTGTGCATTACGAGAGTACAAGATTCGGGGGCGCGTTCTCAGCTCACGGTGGAGCGAGCCGGAGTGAAGCTGGGGGTCCTGGAACGGTTTTCCTGGCTAAAAACTCGACACACAAGACCATGATTATCGACAACAATGGCTATCGAGCAACCAAGCCGTATATATCGGATTACAGAGATATATCCAACGATGGTGGAAGAGCCTGGCTCCTTGCGGGTTTCATGGGCGAGTTTACTATCAATCTGTTACAGTTGCGCGGTGGAAGTCATTTTGCTATCTATCATCTCAATAACTTTGCGTTTACACTTAATGTAGAGCGACTTGAAGGTGACCTTGGCGGTATGATCCACGTGTCAGGGAGAGACAGGGTGTACATCAACTACGCTCCCAGGCTTTTCCCGTCAGGTTTCCACGTGTACAAGGGGGGATTCATTCATCTGCCTCGTGACGTTCTACTTAAAGACTTGTTTTATCCCAGGATTTCACTGGAAGGAATGATTAGCGGCATGGATAACTTGACCATCGGTGGAGGTGCAGAATTTGTAGTAACTGCTCAGGTACTTGAACACACAACGACTTAAAAAGTGTTAAAAACGTGGGCGTTAAATCTCAAAATTAATTCCTAGACCCTTTCTAGTCAGTCAGTCAGTCAGTCAGTCCGTCCGTCCGTCCGTCCGTCCGTCCATCAGTCAGTCAGTCAGTCAGTCAGTCAGTCAGTCAGTGAGTCAGTCAGACCATTTTGTTTTCCTTGCTACATTTGGATAGTTAATGCCATGATCTACCCACGATTTTTTAGGGTCATACAGAGGGCTTCAGTAAGAAGACCATCCACTTAAACTCCATGACCGTCATGAATGGCGCGAAGCTCACAGCCGCTGACACTGTCATAGACTCACCTACAGTCAACCTGTTGCTGAATGAGAGCTTGAGAGTGATGGCAGGGGGCCTGATACAAGGGAAATGGATTAACATCAGTGCTGGTGATATTGAGGTGGAGGCCTCTGGTAATATTAATGCAGAGAAACGAGGCTATGCGGCGAGAAGCGGACCCGGATTATCATCAGGTAGATCAACTGCTGTTGTTTATGTTTATTATATGTTCGCCATTTGCATGTAGCGTGAAAATACTATGGCGCTTCTCACTGCTGCCCTTCTGTATCTACAGGATAATTTGCCTTTCGTTTCGTCTACTTTTCCATCAGAATTCATCTCTGTCAGAAAACGAGCGGTTCAGAACGGAAAGTGCGAAGTTATCAAGCTTCACGTAATGGCAGCAATACGGCTAATGTCTATGAGGCTGCGTAATAATAAATAGGTGAACGACAAAAACATCGTGTTCATGAAAAATAGTGATTTGGATATATTCAGTAAGTTATCCATGCACCTTGTTGCCCATCTGGACGGTCTGTTGGGAACGAATATGTTTATCTAGGTTATCCTCTTATCTAGAAGAGGAGAATGTTAATTTAATAAGCGATACATCTGGTTGAACTAGCGACAGATATTTCCATACCGTGGACGAGAAAGTCCATTCCTGTCCGCAGTGTTCCGTAGCGCGGTTTTCAGGAAGACCTTTGATTCAGACCTTCTTGCAACCCGCTATCATTGTTCCTAAGCCATTATTATCCTCTTTACCATCGGTCGAGTCTTCTTGATGCTTATTCCTTACCGTTTCGAACTCTTTAAAGGTGTGTTTTGATTGTAAGGACGGAATTTTACCGTCTAGTAGAAAACCACGATACCGAGGCCATGTTTGTTTTGGATGCTGCGATCAAAACCTAACGCTCTACTACCCCCTAGAATGTGCAAATGTCGAACAGAATAAGTACCAAAAACCTCTCTAGGGAGTGGAAAAAAGGCAATTTCTTAGTATTTTCAAAAGGCCACTTGCCTCAACTACCCTATGAGGGAGTTCACATGCTCCGTCATCCATCCCTACACGAAGGTTTCTGTTATGGTATGTCGTCATATTGTGTCCAAGTGGGAAAAATATTGACATCTGAAGGCCATGTTTTCGATCAGGAACTAACATTTCGTTCACTTGAAGAACCTTTCCCAATATTCTAAACCCAATAGTGCTTTGTCCTTCGGACGTTGCGCTAATAAGGTGCATTTCTGGTTTCTTTCATTCATATTTAATTTATTTTCGTTGCTAGCCCGGTGGTTCTTGAAGTCATTCAGTTACTCCTTCACTCACTCGCGCTTATTAATTCATTTATTATTTGGCCGAGACTAATATTTCATATATTATGATTGGCTGAGAGCAGACCAATTCATCGTTAATTTTTCTCTTACATACACTTCTTTGATACCCGTTAGGCTCTGCTGGCGCTGGTCACGGAGGCCGCGGAGGGTTGGGTGGCTTGGGTTCATCCCCGGGCCACTCCTATGGCTCCCTTTATGAACCTCTCTCCCATGGAAGTGGAAGCACGTTGGCAGCTGGGGGCGGGGTAATCAGACTAGCGGCAAGGGGATCTGTTACTATAGATGGCTTAGTTGGTGCAAATGCTGAGGATGGGCACAACGAAACTACCGGAGGCGCTAGCGGAGGTAGTATTTGGATATCGTCTAAGAGCTTCAAAGGAAATGGAGTTATCAGAGTCTCTGGTGGAAGCGGACTGTTCTCAAGCAGTGGCGGAGGGGGTGGTGGACGAATCTCAGTTGATTTTGACAACCGTACTTTCAGTGGCAACATAGAGGCCTTTGGCGGAGCAGGTAACAAAGAAGCAGGAGGTGCCGGAACAATATATCTCCATAACAAGTTCCGAAACTACGAGCAACTTATAGTGGACAACAACAACATAGGTTCTCCTTTGACAGATGACATCGTAGACGTCGATCATGATGGAGGTCGGGCATGGGTGACACCAGAACCCAACACAACAGTAATGTCATTTGATGAGGTTGATATTCGAGGCCAATCGCAGCTAGCCGTGCTTACAACTCCACCTGGCTCGCCTGTTCGGTGGGACATCAGAGGTATTCGTGGTGACCGGTCGGGAATTGTGCACGTCAGATCCAATCAAGAGTTGCAGATGACGCTATCGGACAACCAGGGACAACAGCCCGAGCTGCTGTGGGGTGTCAACGTGTATCCAAGAGGTGATCTCAAGTTGCCTCATAAGCTGGTTGTGGACGGGATAAAGATGATCGTGGCAGGAAGTTTGAGCGGCGCTCAAAGTGTGACAGTGGGAAATAAAGGAAAACTAATTCTCAGGTAAGCAGTAAAGAAACTGCTTTTGCCCTTTTAAGGTAGTATTGTGTGATTACAAACCCGAACACTCAATCAACCTCATTTCAGTGGCAACATACATAAACTTCTAAACGAAGTTATTTTGGGGTACTCGTCGTTGAGCTAAGCAGCACAGCATACCTTGAGCTAAGCCCCTGCATCGATAAAACTTTGAAAATGTTTCCATCAATAATTACCTTTACTCTTCTGTTCCGTCTTGGATAGGGTATGCTGGTAATGCCGTCATTTCACACCTCAAAAACACCTGTTTCTATCCAGCTTTTTTAAATGTGCTAAATAGCCTCAATATATCATGCAATTTCATTTTTTAGGCAGCTTATTGCTTCAAATAACCAATCGTCCAGAGACTTATCATTCGACGTGATCGAGATCCAGGGTGGCGGCAGTATCGAAATACAAAGTGATAAAGAAGGCCTCTCAATAACATGCTCAACCTTATGGATACGCAGTGGTGGAGTTCTTATCGCTGACCGACTTTCGGTTGTAGCCGACACGGTAACAATCGAGCAATCGGGAGTTATTGACCTGGACTATAAGGTAAGATCAGACGTATAATACTGCTAGAAGTGTACATCTCTGGTTTTGGGTCTTGAGCTGTCAGATTCGCGAGTAGGCTATTTATACCAAACCAGTGGGCAATCACGTTAAACTGGAGTTTTGTGAAGGGCAGCGTGAGCTACAAATTATAAATTGAGCAAACAACTGTCAAACTTCTGACGCGTAATACACGTTCGGTATTAACGTAATTTTTAATTGACACTTTTTTAGCTGTTAGTAATATTTGTTAAGCATCTAGTCCTTACATTGTTTTCCAGGCTTTTCCACTTATTTTTCCACTCGTGTTAACACTTAAAACATAATAGTTTAATATGTGATGGATTTTCGGGAATTGACCTAAGATACTCGAGGCCACTTGACGTTATTAAAGTTCGCAATTGTTATTCATGAATACTTTTCTTTTCAGGCTACAGTAGCAGGGTCAGGTCCTGGAGCTGGATCTTCGCATTATAGTGGATCGTCAGGGGCCGGTCATGGTGGTCGTGGAGGTAGAGGCAAATCTCAAACTCGTACCGGCGCTTTCTATGGAGACTTCTCAAGGCCCCAGGCGTTTGGTAGCTCTGGTGGTGGAGGAAGCGGTAATAGTATAGCAACCGGTGGAGGTGTCATCCATATCACTGCTCAACAGATGCTTCACGATGGACAAATAACAGTTAATGGCAAAGATGCTTTAACTAACTCAGATTACGGTGGAGGAAGCGGAGGCAGCGTTTTCATCGAGGCAGGAAGTTTCGACGGATCAGGTGTAATCCAAGCGAATGGAGGTACAGGTGGAGGCGATGCTGGTGGTGGAGGTAGTGGCGGAAGAATTGCTATTCATTACAACTCAACATTCTTCTCCGGAATCATCTCTGCTTACGGAGGAGCCTCAACCATTGAGACAGGAGCGGCTGGAACGATTTACAAGAGAGACGAAAGCAAAGGTTATAGTGTCCTTGAAGTTTACAATCAAGGCAGTAAGCCGTCCAAAGAGACAATTGACGACTATTCCCACTTGGCGAGTGACAGCGCGAGGACGTGGTTGACTTTAAGTCATATTGTTGGCTCGCCGGTACCAGCTGCTGTTCAGGACATAGATGTGGGACCCATCATATACGAAGGCCTTACAATTGACGAAGTGAAGTTGGGTGGATCAGCACACCTTGCCTTTGAGCCTGACTCAAGTTTGACTCGTCTGCACACGTTCAGACGGTTTTATGGTATTTTTGAAGGAGACAGTTTTGGCTTCCTCCACGTTGGACCGCGACAGCTTGTAACAATACCGAACACAGACTACTACATTCCAGTTAACTTAAAGGTTTATCAATCAGGCTACATTCAGCTTCCTGACAGGGTCATGCTTCACAAGAACTCGTTGTCTCTAAATGCTGGATATCTCATCGGCGTTAAGGACCTGACAATTTCTCAGTGCAGAGTTACGTTTGGAGCCGGTTCTGGAGCATTTATCACCGGCTCTCTGCAGGCAACGCACTTCAAGTTTCAAACCGTGACGATTATGAGTCAAGGCTTCTTAGACATGATTGCGACCAACACCAAGTATTCGCTGGAGATGGATTCTCTTGTTATAAACTCAGGAGGGGTCCTCACCGGACGCGATGTCGCAATCGTTGCACAGACTGTGACGGTGGATGAATCGGCACTGATTAACTTGGATGCTAGAGGAGAGAGTTGTCCAGCTACAGACGTTTACTATGCTGGCTCAGGAGGCAGTCATGCTGGTTATGGAGGATTTGGATTTCTTGGAGAGTCCTCAGGGGGCAAGCGGGAAGACCCATTTGGTTCAGTATTTCGTCCTGTGGCATTTGGGAAAGCTGGATATGCCGGTCGATCTTCCTCAAGTTGTGCTAGTGGGTTTGGAGGTGGGATTCTAAATCTGACGATCATCGGGACGCTCCAACTTGAAGGACACATCACTTCAAGGTAAGAACTTTTATATGTTACTTTTATATTAGGAATTGTGTTATGACGGAACCAAGTTGTTCTCTGTCGTCTCTTTATTCATGTCTGTTGTTTTCCTACCTCCGTAAGGGATGAATATCATTTATTTTAGAAATGGTCTTAAATTTAGCATCTCAAGTATGATTTGGTAGTATGACTTGCTAGCAACATGGTTCACTTTACTATTTGTTTTCTTTGACTAGGGGCGAGAATTCGAAGCATAGTGAAGGTGGTGGCGGTGCAGGTGGCAGTCTGTTTATCAATGCCAGTACTGTGGAAGGAACCGGTTCCTTTGACGTTCCTGGCGGTGACGGAGGGTCCAGTTCAGGAGGAGGAGGAAGTGGTGGTATAGTAGCAATTTACTACAAGACATCATCGCTTCAGTTCTCATACAAGGTCCATGGTGGCGGTGGCAAGAACATCGGTGCTTCTGGTTTCCTGTATTTGAAGAAAACAGAGTCGCAAATGGAACATTCGGAACTTATCTTAGAAGGAAGAAGTGTTTTGGCTCTCAATACGGAAAGCTCACTTATTTGTGATCCAAAGCTTATTGACTTTACTTTTGATGAGATAAGGCTACTTAAATCCAGTACACTTTCAATGATTTCATGCGCGCAGGGAAGTCCTATGACGCTGATTACTAAGAAAATCGTAGGGGACAGAACAGCATGGCTTGTCGTCAAGCCAGGTCACGATGTTTACATTGGCGTTACAGGTGTAGCTCAATCTACTATGGAACTTGATTTTAATGTGGAAATTAAAGATGGCGGAACGCTCTCCGTTCCGTCAAATTTTTTCATTGCCAGTGATACAGAGATAAACCTTAGTGGCAGCCTTGTTGGTGTCTCAGATTTGACGATCACAAATAACGGAAGACTTGTTCTTAAATATCCTGGACATACTGGTTTTAGGATAACACCTCAACAAGGCATGTCTACTGTACAATTTACCTCAGTACGTATCAAAGATGGTGGAAGCATGACTACATCTTCACCAAACAAAGTAAAACTGAAGAGTGATCTTTTGCAGCTTGACTACGGAGCTAATCTTGCATCTGGCATTCCTGTGACTACGGAAGAACGAATACAACATACTAACGGACCTTCTCTTAACAGGCCAGACTGCCCTCATGGATACGAAGTTGTTGAAGTAGCGTCAAAGACCTTATATAACCCTTGTGGTGTGGGCAAGCACATTTTCAACAAACGAAACGAGTCTTACTTAGTCTTCAAGAACGTGTCAGTGGCTATATCTCCAAACGAAACGATTTACGTTATCATGAATGAGACACGGTACAATGTCACGTATTACATTGCTTGTGATTACGACAATTTCAAACTTCTCGCAGGCCAGTCATGTAGCTTAGCACCAGGGAACTATACATACAACTCTCTGGAGATACAAGGAAGCGCCACAATGTACATTGAGCCGGGAATACAAAGAAATAACATGAGTACACTAACTGTCTCTAAGCTGACCATCTACTCAAGTGGCTCTATTGTTGCTAAGACATCGGACTTTGTTAATGCCATCCTATCAGTTTCAGATAATGGTGGTAGCTATGGTGGGCTAGGTGGTGGTGATACCGACAACAAATCTCTTTACGGCAATGTTTCATTCCCTGATGATTATGGATCTGTTGGTGGAGGAAGCACTCAAAATCGTGGGAGAGGAGGAGGTGTTGTAATCCTTAAGACAAAGGAGCTCGTTAATGATGGACTTGTCGATGCCAGTGGAGGAGATGGATCTTCAGGGGCTGGTGCTGGAAGTGGAGGAAGCATCCAAGTAACAACAAATTTTCTCAAGGGATCTGGTACTTTCAGGGCCCGCGGTGGAAATGCGAACTCCCCAGCTGGAGGAGGAGGTGGAGGAAGAATCGGAATAACAGTTCTTCAAGGGCAAACTGAATTCCATGGTCTTTACGATGCTACAGGTGGTGATGGACACAAAGGATCTTCAGGAACGGTGTACATTCGAGACCAAAGACAAGAAACCTCTTATGAAACACTCCTTTTCTGGAATAAGGTCGTTGGTTACCCTCCAGCCCGATTGCCAAGTTCGTCATCTTCTTACAAGTACGATGAGTTGCGTTTAGAAAATCATGGCACATTCTTAGCAACAGCGCAGTTGCTAATCATCAAAAGCTTCGTCACCGATGGAACTGGTAAACTAACAGTCTCGAATGGCAGTAGAGTAGATGTTACGAATTTTCCTCAGTCATCGGGAAGATTTGCATGTGATCTTGAGATCCTACCTGGCGGTTCCTTGTATATTTACAGCCAACCAACTTTTGTAGGTCCAGGTTCACCCACGGTAGTAATTGCAGGAACTTTGGACACAAGAGAACCTATACTCGGGGAAGGGAGAGTTCTAAAAGTGGCATCGAGTGGAGAAGTTCGGTCCACCAACTTGAGGCTTCTTAAAGGTTCTTTAGTTCAAGTAGACGGTGATGGCATAATTAAGAAGAGTTTTTCGTATTTGCAGTTCCATCTTTCTTCGCTGCGACTTGACACAAATGCACAACTTATCTTTGCTCAAGAAAATGTTACTCTGAAGGTTGACTCATTGCATCTTAGCCAAGGAGTAACTGTTTCGTCAAGTTCCAGTATGAAACGTCTCAATATCACAGCTAATAATATGATCGTAGACAACCTGGCAAGAATTACCACCGATAGCGGGGGCTTCCTTGGCGGTCCAGGTGAAGCTAAAAGCTCCGGTAGTGGTTGTGGTCATGGAGGAGAAGGTGGTGGAATCCAGGGTGGATCATCTTACGGATCTGTATTTGAACCGCGACATTATGGCAGTGGCAACAATGTCCGTGGTGGTGGAATCATTTTCTTACATATAAAAGAAAAATTGACTTTGTATGGAGGTATCAGTGCTAATGGTGCAAATGATTCAGCTGGAGGTGCCAGTGGAGGCAGCATATTGTTACGGGCAGGAACCTTGTCTGGTCACGGAGAGATTGTGTCAAATGGAGGTAAAGGACTTGGTTCTGCGTCTGGTGGCTCTGGTGGCCGCATCGCTCTCTATATCACGGATAAGACTCCTTTCACAGGTACAGTCACTAGTTATGGCGGATGCGGGGCTACTTGTGGGGCAGCTGGGACGATATTCATCCGTGAGTACGTAGTTGGGCTACCTCTCAACTCGACAATAGTGGACAATGGAAACAGTAAAACGGAAGCTAACACAATTATCATGCATGAACAGAAAATCTCTTACACAATGCGGCTTCTTAAACTCATAAATGGTGCTAGGCTTGAAGTGGCAACAATACCAAATGTGGAGATGAAGATAGCAATTCAGCAACTGGACGGTGATGGAAGCGGACGCCTTCATGTGCATCGCAATCAAACACTTACGCTTGGAGCTGGCAAAGCTGTGACTTCAAGACCATTCATGTTCCCCTGGGCGATGATCGTAGATGAAGGAGCAACGCTTAATCTGGCACCAGTGCTTTTCATTACGCGAACAGCAGTTTTACCATCCCTTTACTTAGCTGGAAAACTGAACGGTGGACAAGAGGTTAATGTTGGTCAAGATGCTTCTGTGGTTATTGCAAAAACTGGCATTATTGGAACCTTCACTAACACGCCCGGGATATACTCTTTCCGCTCGCTTAAAGTTTCAAGTGGAGGACGCATAACAATCGAGGCAGATAAATTTGCAAATGCTCCTGTAGAGGTCAGAGCGATCTCCATTGATGTAGCATTTGGTGGAGTTTTAGAAGGAAGATACCTAAGAGTAATAACACCACTGTTGAACGTTGCTTTTAACGGTGTTGTGCGAGCCGATGGATTAGGTAATCCTCCAGGTGCTGGTTTTGGCGTTGGAAGTTCTTCCTTGTTAACCGGAGGTGGATACGGAGGCTGTGGTGGTGGCAATACCAACGATAGTTGTGTGGTGTATGGATCCCTATATAAAGCAACAGAGTTCGGAAGTGGAGGTGGAACATCGCAAATACCCGATGGTAATCATGGTACTGCAGGTGGTATCATTAATGTGATGGCTTCGCACTTAGTTGTTGATGGTGTCATATCGTCAAATGGTCAAAGCGGAGACAGCACCACAACAGGTGGAGGCAGTGGCGGCAGTGTGGATATCTCCGTCACAGAACAGCTAAGTGGCCGTGGACAAATTAAAGCGGAAGGAGGAGGTTGTGTTGGAGAGATAACAGGTGCCGGTGGCGGTGGACGGATCTCTTTACTTATAACAGGTGACGATAAGTTTAGTGGCACTTTTAGTGCACGAGGTGGTAATTCTTCAGCTAAAAGTGGCTCGCCAGGAACTGTCTATATTGAAGTTGGCAAAACAGTACTTCGTGTCAAAACACTCTTTCTGGATAATAGTGATATCCACTCAACTTCACCACTTCCAGTGTTTCTCAAACAGTCATCTGTCATTTCTTATAATCTTCAAGAACTCCGCTTAAAAGGAAAAGTGATGCTACACGTAGAAAAGAACATGCAAGTTGACAAGCTGGTTGCGGACTCAAACAGTGTTATTTATATCAAAGATAACGTCACGTTTACAGCTGAACCAACTTCTCGGTATTTACAACCGTACTGCAGCTTCATTGTCGAGTCTGATGGAGAAATACGTATACCTGATGAAGTGATGTTTCTTGGAAGTAGCAATGTATTCAAGGGAACCCTGACTGGAATCCTAGACATGATAATCGGAGAGAATAGGAAAGTAACTTTTTCTTCCTCGGCGCGCACGGCTCGTTACATCGATGGACAATATACCTTTATCACAGACCGTGGCGAATACCGATTTTCTTCTCTGAGAGTAAAGAACGGTGCCTTCTTTTCGTTTGAGGAGGCAAGGTTGAAGAAAGTCCCGCTGACTGTGGGAAGACTTGAAGTAAACTTTGGTGCAATAGTTCAAGGCAGCTGGCTCGACATCAAGGCTTCTGACGTCATTATACACCCAGGTGCTACCCTTGATCTATCTGCGCAAGGACACGAAAGCGACAAAGGACCTGGTGCAGGGGGTCGGTATCAGTCCGATGGAACTGGTGCCGGCCACGGTGGTTACGGTGGGTTGCGCCACGGAAATCACGGAACATGGTACGGTTCAGCGTTCAATCCAAACGATACAGGCAGTGGTGGCGGTAGTTCTAGTTATGGTGCCGGAGGAACCGGTGGTGGTTACCTTCGTTTAACAGTGGTTAGGGTCGTAAAACTCGAGGGAACAATCTCAGTAACTGGAGCAAGTGGAGAAGCTTCGAACAGTGGCGGAGGCAGTGGTGGAAGTGTGTGGATCTCAGCAGATGATATCCTAGGAAATGGGATAATCACTGCGAAAGGCGGTGATTGTAAGGGCACGGGAGGTGGCGGCAGTGGTGGGCGTGTTGGCATCTACTTGCAGAAACCGATGAGTTTTGAAGGCCTCTTACAAGCACAAGGTGGAAGCGGAAAAGAAGCTGGAGCTGCTGGGACGCTATACATTCAAGATAACAACAAACTTTTTCCTCGAAAGCGTCTCTGGATTGACAACCTAGCAACTGCTATCAACAAGGCTCAAACCGTGCTATATGAAGCAGATGTTGTTAACTACCTATTTGACGAACTTCGGCTGACAGGAATGTCTCGATTTGAGATATATAATCTGCAAAGGAAGTTTCAGACCATCCAAGTCACCCGATTTGTTTCTGATGGCGTAGGGGAAATTGCCATCAGGAAAAACCAGACCCTTCTGGCAGAGGTTCTTGAGGCAAAAGAGAGCCACTTGACCTTAACAACGAATATCTACGTTGAGGAAGGTGCAAATCTTGTCGTAGCTTCGAATCTCACTGTTGATGGAGCAACCCTTACCCTTGATGGTAAACTATCAAATGTTAGACACCTCGTTGTGGAATCAGGAAGCGCTGTAAAATTTGGAATTACGTCACAGACGACCTTGATGGAAAACAATAATTTTGTCTTCCAGAGTGACCCTGGAACTCAGCAGTTTGCAAGCGTTACCCTTAAAAGCGGGTCCGACTTTGGAGCTCCACTGAATCTTAGGATCAGTGTCGGAACATTGGATATGAAAAGTGGAGTAACACTGCGAGGGAAATTTGTTGACATCAAATCCAAGTCACTGCTTATTGGACGCGGTGCAACCCTAACGACGAACAACAGCATCGAAGCAGTGGGAAGTTTTGGTGGCAGTGGGCGTTCTTCAGCTAACGGTGGTTCTGGTGGTGGACATGGAAGTGCTGGTGGAGTGGGGTATAATGGATTGGCCGGTGGGAGTCCGTACGGTACTCTGTATGAGCCAGATCAGCCAGGTCAACCGGGAGGTAATGGTAGCGCAGGTAACACAGCTGGCAAAGGCGGTGGAGTGATCCGAATTGACACTGATATTCTGGAAAATGACGGATTCATTACAGCAAACGGTGGACATGCAGTCCAAGGAAGCCAGGCTGGTGGAGGAAGTGGTGGAAGCGTATTTATATCGATAGGCAGCATCTTTTCGGGTACTGGAACAGTTTCTGCTAATGGTGGACGTACAGATGGTGCTGGTGGGTGCGGGGCCGGTGGCCGAGTGGCAATACATCTCAAGTCTAAATATTCATATCGTGGAACATTACAAGCTCTGGGCGGAATCTCAAGTAGCAGTGGAGTGTCAGGTGGACCAGGGACGGTCTATATCAGAGACGTCCGATACAAGTTATTCTTTCATCAGCTGCACATCGATAATCAAGATCAAAGCTGGCAAAACTATGTTACACTGAATGAGAGTAAGGTATCTTATGACTTCAATGAGCTTTATGTGTTCCGTAAGGCATCTTTACGTATGATTCAGGATTCAAATTCCACACTGCGCATCAGGAAACTCTTTGGTGATCGATCTGGTCTTCTGCATCTCTATGAAGGTCACAAAGCGATTATAGAGGTGGTGGAGGCACAACTAACCACCACTAAGAGTCCTATAAACTTCAGAATTGACAACGGAGCTGAAGCTGTTATGTCAACGACTGTATACATTGTTGGCGATGGTGCAGTAGCTTTGCAATGTAACGGAACTTTGAATGGTATCCGTAACCTGTATGTCACTCAAAAGCGAGTCGTCAAACTGAACAAAGGCTCGAGAACGTTAAGAGACAATGAATCACCAGGAACCTTTAAGTTTTCCAATGTAAAATTATTTAGTGGTAGTTCAGTGACTATGGAGGACGAAATCGAGATGAAAATAATTGTTGGGTTCTTGAATGTAAAGTTCCACGCGGCTCTGGAAGCCCATCATTTAGACATTCTAACTTCTAGTTTGGATGTGGAAACTGGGGGACTGCTCAGCGCAGCTGGTGACAACAAAGCACGGGAAGCTGTTCCTTCTAGGGAAATATCATCGCTTCCACGGGGAGCAGGAGCAGGGCATGCTAGCAGTGGCGGAAGTGGCTATGGAGGAGCTGCTGGAGGCTCCTACTATGGCTCTCTTTACCACCCAAAGGAATCCGGTCGCAGGGGCGGAAACGGAGCAGGTAGTAGTGATGTCGGGGGAAGTGGAGGGGGCTATGTGAAGATAGAAGCCGGCACTTTGCTTATCAATGATGGTACCATTACGGCAGAAGGTGGAAGTGCTAAAGCTGGAAGAGAGGCTGGAGGCGGAAGCGGAGGAAGCCTTCTATTTCAGACAGACAGTTTCATTGGTAAGTTTTGTTCTAGAAGCTTAGACATTAAATTAGCCAAAACAGCAGATAATATTTTCCCACAAAATGTTACCAGACCGATTGCAAAAATCGGAGAAAAAACGCTATCAGTACATAATGTAGCAATGCCCCTAATTGATACATTTTTACCTAAGACGATGCAAAATTTTCATTAATTCAGGACACCAAGGAATAACAGAAATCCCAAATATAATAAACAATTGCTATTAAAAACTTTAGAGGATCCGATTAAAAATTCGTTCGGATAATATATATATTTTTCTCCTTAAAGGTTATGGAGCACTGAGCACAACTGGCGGTGATGGAGGAGGAGCCAATGCAGGTGGTGGCTCCGGAGGTAGGATTGCTATCTACTCTATCCAGAATCTTTACAGGGGAACCTACTCAGCATTTGGTGGAAGTTCTCTTCCAGGCACGTATGGTGGACCCGGTACGGTGTTTTTACACGATATTCGTTCAAAGAGGCCTTTTACTCAGCTGCGAATTGACAACCTAATGCGTTCCGTTCAAGATCCAGTGACAATTGATGAAACAAATATCACTGATCACGATTTCTCGCAAGTTCACTTGTTCAGAAGAGCGGCTCTTAACATGGCTGTGAGAAAAGAAAGAACAGTTCTGAAAATGACGCGACTGTTCGGAGATCGAACAGGCCTACTTCATGCCCGTGCCAACCAAACATTCTACCTGGAAGCGTCTGCCACAGAGCACAGCGTATCCAAACCAGCTGTTAACCTGAGGATAGACAAGGACGCCGAAATGGTCTTTGGTGCGTCGCTGTACGTCATCGGAGATGGAGCAAAGGCAACTGGGCAAATAACTGGGGACTCATCTTTCACAATCGATGGCAGAATGATAGATGTTACTCACTTATTTATCACCAAGCGTTTGAAGTCCAGGTTCTTGTCCCACGCTCATTCAGCCGATTTGCATAATGGCACCCTAGCTGTAAGTGCTATAGGCAGCTTTGTTTTGGCCACGTTTGAGATTCAAGATGGCTCTGAAGTATTCTTTCCTGACGTTCATGGAATGCAGTGCACAGTTGGACTAGTTCACATGAAATACGGATCCGTTATTGTCGCAGACACTTATCGCATTGCCCTTACGTCGCTCCTCCTTGAAACCGGAAGTACAATCACTGCATCTGGAAAAGATCGTCCAGGTCCTTACGAAACCGCCGTTCTTCCAAGTTCTTGTAGAGGTTCTGGCGGCAGTTATGGAAGTAAAGGAGGAAAAGGTAAGGTATTGTTAGCCTCAATAACAAAATGTGTAGTTTCAAAAATAAGGAATCTTATCGGTTCTATAACCTGTCTCAACCACTCTTTTTAGTGTCATAAATACAGTTGGAGCCCCCTAAAATATTCGAACTCGATTATTTCGAATTCCTCGCTATTTTGAACTTAAAACAACTTCCCTGGGATTTGCCCTTCAGTCATTAACTATCGGCTATTTCGACCTCCCGCTAATTCGAGCTATTTTTCGTTTCCCCAAAGAGTTCGAAATAGCCGGGTTCAACTGCATATTTCAACATCTCTGTTACGAGAACAAAAAGCAGTTTAATGAATCATGAATCGTCCTGAGCATTTGCTACGTAAAGTGATTTGACCATTTCATATACAGTATCTTATTTTCCCTTATGCATTCGAGATAAAGATAAGGATTTTAAAATTAAGTATGCAAATGTAGTTCTACTTTTCAAAATTGTTATTTTTTTGGGCCATTTTGTACTTTTTCCAGGCCACAGTGACATCAACGAGCTTGCTTCACATGGCAGTCTCTTTACACCTGACCACTACGGCACCCCAGGTTGTCCCGGAAACAGTGATGGTGGGAAGGGTGGTGGACTTATATTCATGGCTATAGGAGATGAACTGTACGTAGATGGCACCATAGCAAATGAAGGACAAGATGCTAGCGATGGATCAAGTGCCGGTGGTGGCAGCGGGGGTAGTATTTGGATCAAATGCGGAAGATTCAGTGGTCACGGCCTGATTTCTTCAAATGGTGGTGCTGGTGCCGGTCTTAATTCTGGTGGTGGATCTGGTGGACGGATTGCAATTGATACACCAACGGAAAACAAATATCTAGGTGAGTACACTTCCATTGGTGGGAGATCTGGTGACCCATCAAAAGACACAACTCTGTACGCTGGTGGTCCCGGCACGGTGTTTCTTAAAGATACACGAAATCAATACGCCCACACTCAGCTTCGCCTAGACAACAAAGGTAGAACATGGGATCATTACGTCACGCTCAATGAAAGCTTAAAGGCTTATAGCTTTGATGAGCTCCATCTCGTGCGCAAGGCTGCTATTCACTTGGTTCCCGACGGCAAGCGCTTGAACTTGACTGTGCACAAAGTTGAAGGCGATAGAACAGGATTGATCCATGTCCATGCGAACCAAACACTGAAAGCTGAATTCTTAGACGCTGTGTACACGATCACCAGGACGGCCGCAAACTTCAAGCTTGACAGAGATTCCAACGCCATAATGGCAACCTCAGTTCACGTGGTCGGACGAGGGGACGTGGCGTTCGAATGGAACGGACGTCTAATCAACGTTCAGCACTTTTACATTGCCTACGACAGAACGATCAAAATTGGATTTTACGCTCACACTGCTGGCATCGCGGCAGGAAAATATCGGTTTATTGATGACTTTGGCACGTTCCGTTTCTCCACACTTGAGTTTGGCAGTGGTACCGTTATACCCTATCCACCACCCATGGGAGTTCATTTCATAGTCAGTCTTTTGGTATGTAGACATGCATGATAAGTAAATAAGTGAATGAATGGTATTGTTGGTTTTGGTATATTGGAGTTACAATCTTGAGTGAAGGTTTAGTCGATACATGCCTAGTGTAAACTGTTGCGCCAGTGACGGCACTTAACGGTAGCTTGCAACACATGCAAATTCTTTACTAGTCAGGAGCACTTACAAGCTGAAGCACTTAAGCAAAAAACACTCAGAAAAGGAATTCCACCCAACAGGGCATGGAAATCCTTAGAATAACAGTGGTCCATGGTTGCAAGGTACGGAGAATGGTATCCAAAGGATAACCGACATCTCTATCCGGGCTACAGTGAGAAGAAATCTGTGGACTAGGAGTTCAAAGCAAAAATACCAAAATACGAGAAAACAAACCATCCCCTCCTCCACCACTTGGTACTCTTATTTTTCACGGACAGCCTGAAAACAATAACTAAAAAGTAGTTGGTAATTTTCAGGGCTGTCATGCACGTCCCTTTAGGTTTATTAATGTTTTGTTTTCTTGTGTCCGTGACTGATCGATTTTGCTGAAAATGTTTAACCTGATATCAGTCAGAAACTTGTGGAATTATTACGATATGGAATTGTTACAACCGGCTGTGACAAATGCTTCAGCAATTATGCATCAACACGACTAGTGTGCTGAATTTCTCTTTCGAAATCTGTTGTGGAGTCAGCATGTGATATTAATTGTGCGCCCTTTACAGTTTTTTTCTTTGGCATTTTGGTATGACTTTAAAATGTTTATTTCTTATACGCAGGATATCAAGTTCAGTTCTTACTTCAAAGCTGAATTTTTTACGATTGAAGCCACGGACTTCTACCTTGAACCAAATGCTATACTGGACTGCGCTGGGAGAGGATTCGTGAACAAGACCGTAGGATCTGGACTGGACTCCTCATCAGGAGGGTCCGGAGCTGGACATGGAACTCCCGGGGGAGACGGACAAGATGTTAACGGAGGTGAGGAAGTTGGGTCTGTGTATGAGCCTGTGCTTCCTGGTGCGAGAGGCGGTGCTAGAATTGGAAGTGCAGCTGGCAGCAGAGGAGGAGGTCGTGTGCGTGTGGTAGTTGGATTTGCCTTCAGACTGGATGGCAGTATTACCGTGGATGGAGACAATGCCGTGGAGAATTCAGGTGAGGGATACAAAATGGAATGATATGTGAGAGCATTTAAGAAAACGAAATCGATGATAGTCGCAAACCTATGGTAAGGATGTCACTCTACTTGATACATTCCAATCCTCCCTTCCCTGATTGCAAACTGTAAAATGAATTGGGTGAAAATGTAGGTTAATTTGTATATATCCGAAGAGTCTCAGCCCCATTCATTGGTTATGTTGAAATCTACAGGTAGCGGTGCTGGAAGCGGTGGGAGTGTATGGATAACAACTGGCTATCTTCGTGGCCACGGATCTATATCTGCCCGTGGAGGTGTGGGAAACACTGCCAGCCCTGCTACCGGTGGCAGTGGCTCAGGAGGGCGAATTGCCGTTCACGTTACCATCAAAGATGAGTACAGAGGTGGCTTCTACGCTCTGGGTGGCGTGTCACCTGGGTCTCAACACGGCGGTTCTGGAACTGTGTACATAGAGGAAGTACAAGGAGATCATTTATTCAGAAGATTGTACATTGATAACCAGAATGCAAACCCACCAAAGGTGTTTCTCTTGGACGAGATGAACCCCAAGACCTTAAAGGCGAATGCTACAGAAGAAAATGGTGCTGAGTTTGGCTTCGATGAACTGATGCTCCAAGGAGACGTAAGTAATTTGCTATGATTTTAAGATGTGATATTTTAGAAGATCTTAACTTGACGCTTATCATGCCTTAACAAGCTGGAGTAAAACTCGTGAAAAAAGACTGGCTCTTGTCATTTACAGTACACACGTGCATGAATAACTAACCTATTGGTGTAAACACGACTAGCTGGTTACGTCTTAATGATTTTGTTTCACTTCTCAGTACATAAGGTAGCTTAGTAACATGGTCACACTTACATATGCCCTGTGATACGTTGCTCAGTCCTAGAGAACCTTCTGTTTGAATTTCATTTGCAGGCTGTGCTCCGGATTGCAGACTTAGGATTAAACAAACGACCATCCATTTCTGTTACAACTGTCCTTGGCGATGGTTCATCCTATCTCGACATCATGAAAAATCAAACTTTCTTTATCGAGTACCAGGAATTTACCAGAAGAAGGTCCTTCCCACCAGTGAATTTTAAGGTTGAATACGGTGGCGAACTAATGCTGGTGTCAGATTTCCATGTCTCTGGCAAGAAGAATCCGGCATTTGAGCTTGAAGGGCGGATAACGGGAGTCTCCAACCTGAGTCTTACAGAAGGTCGGGTCCTGCTTGCCGGCGAAAATTTCAGCAGCGCTTTGCTGAAAGACAAAGTGTACATAGAAACACCGATAGAGGGGAAATTAACGTTTGGAGTGTTTAAAATGGAAGCCACGTCGCAACTGCGATTCGACAAGGGCATGAAACTTGATGTCAGCACGCTCTATATGCGTCAGAAAGCTGTCATTTCCGCAGATACAATTGATATGGCGTTAAATGAAGCACACCTGGAGGGCAGCTCCAGGATCACGACATCTGGGAAGGGCCACAAGGCAGAGCAGGGTCCTGGACCCGGGTCTAGTTTCAACAGTGTAGGATCCGGGGGCGGTCATGGCGGACAAGGTGGCCCAGGTAGCACCATCTCTGGAGGATCTGGGTATGGCTCCTATGTTTACCCAGTCCATCCAGGTAGTGGAGGAGGGGGAAGTAATGGTGGAGCAGGAGGAAGCACAACTAAGGTAAATATCGTTTCCATAGCTTACCAGATGGGTTTATGAACAATGTTCGAATGACGTTGGTTTGGGGCCTGGCTTCTTGTGCTTATCTATTTAAAAAAACAACTGCCTCTGTACGCGGTGTTTCCACGGTATCTGCACTAGGGTTATAGGTTTCAAGGCTCGTAGCCAGTCAGTCACGAACTAGAAAACATGCAGATTTAGGTGAGGTTTTGTATTTCTTCCAGTCTCTTTGACTAGAGAAGAAACTATTCTTGTGAAGTGTTTGCTGAAAACATATTTTGGCAGAGTTGTCACTTGTTATTAAGCTGAACGCAGCAAGAGTGGCTAACTAAAATTATTCGTTAATTTAACCTCACCTGTACCGAGAGAGTGAGTTTCAGATGTTGTGAGCGGTGTGCAAAACAAAAATACTCTTTTTTGCGAAATCTGACTAGTGGAAACGCTAGCCATCGAGTATTACGCTATAGTGGTCGTGGGGATTCCTTCTTTTATGAACTTAGTGCCTGTTGTACCGTTGCTCTGTTGTGATTTGATGTTGTAAAAGGCTCTTACTAACGTGACAAGCACAGTATAACATGATATACATTCGTAGCCGCGAACTAATTTGTAAGCTGATCGCAAAAGATGGGCTTTCAAGGCAAAGTCATAAATGTATGTGGATTTGAAGAAAGCCATGTCGTGATGATGATTGATGATCGCACAATGGAACCACAAGGAACAATGGAACCTAAACTTACATTGCTTTTCGTGTCGTAGATTACAGTCGGATATTCTCTTCATTTGGATGGCATCGTCGAGAGTGAAGGTGCAAATGGCGCCTCTAACAGTGGAGGTGGCAGTGGAGGTAGTGTTCTGATCAAAACCATCCTTTTCTCTGGACACGGAATGGTGGTCGCTGATGGCGGAAGTGGGGATGGTAATGGTGGTGGCGGTGCAGGTGGGCGTATCGCAGTGCACGTTGCCTGGTTAAGGGAATACTCTGGCCAATATACGGCTTATGGTGGCACAGGTGAGTAGAATTGTCTAAGTGTTGGTATTACGTAATAGCCATTTCCGACGCACGCTATGATTGGTTGAAAAGCTTTCAACCGATGGCAGGTTGGTCTAAATGGTTTTATGCCATAGAAAATAATTCGGAGATATTGTTTTAGAGATAGTATTAAGATAACTGTTGTTGCTCCCATCTACACTTTTTTATGGCCGCCATTTTTTCTTTGTCTGCTCATTTTATCCAGAAGTGACATATGGGTTGTTTACCATTTACACAGAGAAACCGGTTCGTCAACGGTTTGTGTAAATGGTAAGCAATAATGTCTGATGGTAAGTTCCGTTCGGATTGGCCATTTACCTTTTACTCAAAAAAACCCAGTTTACCGAAAGAGACTAGGACGAGTTCAACCTGATCCTAATTCCAAGATGGCGGTGAAGAATTGCAAATGGTAACCACATTTACTCGGAAATTTTGGTTGGAAATTTTGGACAACCTTTCAACGTGTTCCATTTATTTTGAAAATTTCTCGTTCGGCCAAGCCAAAATTGTTTTGCCATTTACATTTTGACCAAAATTTCCGGAGTTTTGGGTAAATGGTAAACAACCATGGTTTAAGATAAAAAGCTACCGTTTTTAATGGCAATTTAACGCTGTTATAAAACTCTATTTGACCTTGTTCCGATAAACCCTCTTAAAATGTTAAATCATGTTCACGTTTTTATTTCTCCTATTGGAAATAATGCGTTGCCAAGCGTACGGGTAACAAGAGTAAAGGAAAAGATCAACCAGGAAACACCCCATTGTCTACCTGTAAATTCCTACAGATAACTATAAATGACAAGTGAGGTAATTCGGGAAGAGAATAAAGGGAGCATAAAGTTAGTAAATTGCTTATGGCATTTTCCCTTCGTGACAGGTTTTAAAGCAGGAGCGGGTGGCACTGTGTATTATACAGACACCAACCAAGGACTTACTCACAGGCCAGTGCTTATCAACGAAGCAAACCACACCGTGTTCGGCGAGGGATTTACAAAACTTACAGTGGACAACGTCGATCGTAATCCCGATATAGCGACAATAATCATCAACGAAAACAGCTCCTACTACGAGGTTGATGAATTAGAAATGAAGAATCACGGTTTGCTCCACATACACGGTAACAATTCAAGTTTTGTTGTCCACAACTTCACTGGGGACCGAACAGGACTTGTCCAACTTAGACCAGGCCAGAAGATGTTTGTTCAAGTTGTAGAGTCCAAAACGGGTTACAGTGTTGCTCCTGTTAGCTATAAGATAGATCAAGGTGCGGAAATAGTGTTCCCGTCGAGTTTGACACTTCTGGGGACTAGATGTTTCTTTGAGGGTCTGGTTGTGGGTGTTCATCGGCTTATTGTTGCCGAGGGTGCCGATGTTGTTTTTGCTTCAACCACCCAGACTGGTATCAAAGAAAACGAGAAATTCAGATTCCTTACCACACCTGGTAACATTACGTTTGCAGAAGTGTACGTTCAGAAAGGCTCGCGGCTTGAGTTTTCTCGCATCAACAACACGCTGGTCTTTACAGCGATCATTTTCCGATTGAAGTATCATGCATTAGTCAACATCAATCACGGTGAAATTGATTCATCGTGGGCTTGGGTGGAAAGCGAAGGCAGGCTTGTCTTGGACTACACTGGGCATCCAGCCGAGATGGGTCCTGGATCCGGAACTACGAAAAACTTGATTGGATCGGGAGCGGGTCATGGCGGTGAAGGTGGTGTTCACCAGGCAGGGCAGCTTGGAGGAGAGCCCTATGGCTCCATATACCGAGCAGTTCATCTTGGCAGTGGCGGGGGTAACGGACAAGGACGAGGTGGATCTGGTGGGGGTATGCTTCATTGGAGAATTGGTCAGGAGATTGAGCTAGATGGACTTGTCACCTTGCGAGGTGGCAACGGTTCTGGTGTAAACGCTGGTGGCGGTAGTGGTGGAAGCATTCTCATCGAGACAACAAATTTTACCGGTTATGGAGAAATTAATGTTATGGGAGGAGACGGCTCAAGTCCCAGTGGATCCGGTGGCTCAGGTGGTCGAATTTCTGCCCATGTTCGTTTTAGGCACAAGTACGCCGGTGTTTACAAGGCCTACGGAGGAGAAGGGAAAACTAATGCTGCAGCAGGCACAGTGTACGTTGAAGAAACTGCGCGAGGACCACAATATGCAGACTTGAAGTACGACAAGAGTACGAATACGACTTACGTCACTGCAACCCACAGGTACATGGAAGTTGACAATGAAGATCGCAAAACTGAGATGTCTTCAATAATGCTAGAGAGTGAACATTTGTTTTATGAATTAGATGAGTTGTTCCTCACTAGACACGCTAACCTGCAGGTCCAACATCCTCCAGGAAGTCCTAATGTCACTGTCATCATTCACCGCTTCCACGGAGATGGCTCAGGAAGATTTCATGCAAGGGTGAACCAAACAATATACGTGGAAGTCGTTGAATCGGAGACCAATGAGACCACCGCACCGTGTAGTTACAAGATTGATCAAGGAGCTGAAGTTGTCTTCCCTGCTGTTGTCAACATTTATGGAACTAGGAGCATTATAGAAGGACGAATAACGGGAGTAGAACATCTGATCATCGCAAGTCAAGGGTTCGTGGAGTTCTCTTCTACTGCTCAAACTGCTAGAGTTGAGAATCGCCGATACGTAGAGATAGACGAGAAAGGTAACTTTTCATTTGCTACGGTAACTGTTGAAAGGAATTCAAAATTGACTTTCAGCCGTATTCTTAACTACACATTGAGCTTACGATGCTCCGAGTTCAGAATCAAATATGAAGGACTGATGACAATGAATCACGGATACATTTACTCGGCATTTGCGTGGATAGAAAGCGAAGGTATCTTGTCCCTGGATGGAACGGGATTTGGCCCGGAAGAGGGTGTTGGACATGGTACAACCCAAAACAATGTAGGATCTGGGGCTGGTCACGGTGGGGAAGGTGGAAAAACAGATCATGGAGAAGGTGGAATCCCTTATGATTCTGTTTACACTCCTCGGATGTATGGCAGTGGTGGAGGAAATGGCCAAGGAGTGGGTGGTTCCGGCGGAGGATCGATGTTCTGGATCGTTGGTCAAAGACTTCAGATCAACGGGCTGCTGTCTTCAAAGGGAACTGATGGAACAGGAACGAATGCCGGGGGAGGTAGTGGTGGCAGCATCTTAATAACCACTACGAACATGACTGGACACGGTGAAATCTCTGTCCCAGGAGGTTCTGGAACCGGTTCGGGAAGTGGAGGATCTGGTGGACGAGTCGGAATTCATTGCCGGTGGAGATACAAATACGGGGGTAAGTTTACAGACCATGGAGGTCAGCAGGGCCGATATGGGGGTCCTGCCGGTACAATTTATAAGGAAGAGAACTTTAGACCTCTTGAGTACCGTCATCTTAAATACATGAAAGAAACGAACACTACCATGTTAGCTGTCGATCACACGTACGTACACATCGACAACGATGGCCATGATGTACCCGGAGCAACTGTTTTGATGGAGGAAAACACGACATACTACGAATTTGACGAAATGGAGTTAACGGGTCACTCACGTCTTCTGGTCTACCATCCTGGAAATGTTACCGTCATTGCTGTGGTACATAAATTTATCGGTGATAAGAGTGGACAATTTCACATCCGTCGAGATCAAAAGATCTTTGTAGAGTATATAGAGTCAGAGACAAACAAAACCGAAGCGCCTTGCAGTTACAGGATCGACGTCGGAGGGGAGATCATTTTACCATCGGAATTTTCCATGCATGGCACTCGGTCAATCTTTGAAGGAATGATCGTTGGCGTTCGGGATTTGTTTGTTTCGTTCGGTGCTACTGCTGATTTCTATTCAACGGTACAGACAGCCCTCATAGAAAACAACAACTACATTGCAATATCAGAGCCAGGAAATATTTCGTTTGCTGTCGTTATTGTTAAGAAAGGTGGGGATATCGAGTTCCGTAAAAACACAGGATTCTTGAGAATTAATGTTGATGAATTAAAAATAAAATATCAAGGGAAACTGAACATGAACCACGGTGAAGTATTTTCAACATTTGCTTGGTTGGACAGCCAAGGTCATTTCAACTTGGACGAAGGAGGCAATCCTGCCGAAAAGGGACCTGGTGCCGGAAGAAGTACTGCGATCGGCACTGGTGCTGGTCATGGAGGAAAAGGGGCTCGTGAAGGAGGACAAGCTTACGGTTCAGTTTATCGCCCCTTGGTTCTTGGTAGTGGAGGTGGTAATGGCGGGGGAACGGGTGGGAGTGGAGGAGGACAGCTTCTCTGGGAAGTTGGTAAGCGTCTTGAGTTGAACGGCCTTATTTCAGCCAAAGGTGGCAAAGGAGATCGAGGAAATGCGGGTGGTGGCAGTGGTGGCAGCATTCTTATCAAGACAACAAATATGACCGGACATGGGGAGATTGCTGTCACCGGCGGGTCTTCTTATAACCATGGAGCTGGAGGAGGGGGTTCTGGGGGACGAGTAGGAATACATTGCCGATGGAGGTATACTTACGGTGGCAAATTCACTGACCGTGGTGGATTTGGAACGCAGAACGACTATGGTGCACCCGCAGGAACAGTTTACAAGGAAGAAAATTTGCGTCCACTTGAGTACCGCATACTGAAGTATAGTAAAGAGACGAACACGACTTACCTAGCTGTGGATCACACATATTTACACGTAGATAACGAGGGACATGACGTACCTGAAGCCACTGTCCTGATGGAGGAAGGAACAACTTATTATGAGTTTGATGAGGTTGAGCTAACTGGATATTCACGACTCATCGTTTACCATCCAAATGAAACCCAAGTTACAGTGATAGCGCATAGGTTCATTGGAGACAAAACCGGACAATTCCACCTGAGAATTAACCAAACTATCTATGTGGAGGTTGTCGAATCTGAAACAAACAAAACTGAAGCGCCATGCAGTTATCGCATCGACAAGGGAGCTGAGATCGTTCTTCCTGCCGAATTCCACGTCCATGGGGTTCGGTCTGAGCTTTATGGCCTGATGACCGGAGTACACTTTCTTTTCCTCGAGGACGGAGCAACCCTGAAGATAGCATCATCAGCACAAACAGCAATAACGGAGAACCGAACCTACGTCGACATCACACGACCTGGCAACTGCTCCTTTGCGCATGTCATAATCAAACAAGGCGGTCTCTTGGACCTGGTGCGTGTGCAGGAGGTACTTGTTTCCGTTACGTCATCTGTTTTCGAAGTGCTCCACAAAGGAACCGTGAAAGTGAACCACGGCATATTTTATTCCACCTTCGCTGAAGTGGAAACTAAAGGTGAAGTTCTGCTGGATGGTGCTGGGCACCAGGCAGCTACCGGTCCTGGTGCAGGCTCGACCTCTGTAAATAGCGCAGGATCTGGAGGTGGATTTGGTGGACGCGGAGGACAGTCGTACAATAATCATCACGGAGGTGGTGCTTACGGATCTGTTTATAGACCATTGTCTCTTGGTAGTGGGGGAGGACATGGGCAACTGAATGGTGGAGGCGCAGGTGAGTTCCATTTGGATTATCATTTTTCTAAACAGGTTTCTCATTTAAACGTTATTGATTGAATGTAGGACTGATGCAATTCTCAGCTAGCCACATGAGAGAAACAACCGATGAATCACCTGAAGGAGACATCGCGAAAAAAATTAATTAGTTCTTAACTTGTAGATCACTTGGACAATGACTTTGTTTCTTTTTTGTCCAAACTTTTTTTCAGGCGGAGGATCGCTGTGGTGGCAAGTTGGTAAACGTATTCACCTTGACGGCCTCATATCATCGAAAGGGCAGAGTGCAACCAGTACCAGTGGGGGAGGTAGCGGAGGAAGTGTCCTTGTGGAGACAACCAACATCACTGGACATGGCGAAATCAACGTCAATGGGGGAGACGCGCCAAGTGATGGAGGAGGAGGATCAGGCGGAAGAATTGGAATTCATGTCGATTTCCAAAATAACTTTGGTGGTACGTGAATACACGCCAATTTAAAAACACGTGGCTACAAAGTTGGTGATCTTACGCTTTTAGTACAAATCCACCGGTCACGAAGGTTTTGTTTAATTAAGTCTGGTTACTATATCCCTTTATGTCCCTAACGAATCGCTGAAGGTCCTTCAATTTGGTGTTTTAGACTGACGTATGCTCACCATGCATCACCGTTACGAGCAGTCATCTAGAAGACAGCTCTTCAGAAATGCATTGCACATTAAAGTATACCAAGTTTTCAAACGTGACCACGTATCGCACAACACTCTTAAAATGTTTTTTGCGGTAGACGTACTCTGTTATTTTAGTATCCGGGATTGAATTGGAATACTCTTCGCAGTTTAGTGAACAATCTAGTGATCGATAGGTTTATACTTTTTAGGTAAATTCCGCTCCGTTGGCGGCCGCGTCTCTAGCTATCCCAATAACGCTGGAGCAGCTGGTACGGTTTACAAGTACGAAAGTCGTCGCGGTCCGCAATACCGTGAACTCAAGTACAACCCTGATGCGAACTTAACCTCCTTCAAACCCGAGCACGCCAAAGTGAAGGTAGACAACGAAGACAACAACGTAGCTACGCCGACTGTCATCATGGAAAATCAGACGGTCTTTTACGAGTTTGACGAGATGCAGGTCGAGGGTCATTCCACAGTGACCTTCTACCACCCGGAGAAAGCAAAGAATGTGACAGTCATCGCTCACGAAGTTACAGGAGATAAGACTGGAATCATCAAACTGGTGGCCAGACAGCGCTTGTTTGTATTTGTGGTAGAGTCTACACACACTTATATGGACGCCCCGTGTGGATTTTTCGTAGAGGAGTATGCCGAGGTTGTCTTTCCCACAGAGGTGATTCTACGTGGCGAAAGTTCGACCATAAGAGGACGATTAACTGGAGTAGAAAAGCTTGTTCTTGAGAGAAATGGCATGGTGGAGTTTGGAGGTACAGCACACACTGCTATGTTACCTGAAGAGTCGCAGTGGCTGGCTGATAATCCATTTGATCCATTCACTCCCGGTCTCATCATCATTCCTCAGCTTATCATTAACAATGTGGGCGTGGTTAAAGTTACCATGACACCTGTCAGAGTTGTTCTTGATATTGCAGACACGAATGTGAAAAAAGGTGGGTGCATTCCATCTTATACTGCCAGTTTTGAGCTCAGTTGTTTGAGGGCAGATTAGCGCGAATCCAATATTACAAGTTAAGTGAAGAGTGTCTTTTATTATTTTCGTTGTTTATGTGGAGTGTTACATTTATCAAAGTCAAAACTGAATGGCATACGGTAAGATATAAACAAAACGCGTACTAAAAAACTGGGAAAAAATCTGATGTTGAAAGTCGCACCAAACATACATTGGCTTAATCGTGTTTTGAACGACCGGACCTTGTTCTCATTCATTGCAGTAATAGCCCGTAGGCTTACTGAAGGCAAAGCGTGGAATGTGGTAATAGCAACACAACAGCCACTGCCTTTAAACTGTAGATTCTACCCTAAAATGCCGGCATCCTTAACTGCATATTTACATTCCAAGCAGTCATTGTCAAATCTCAAGACTTGTTGTCGAAGATGGGGGTTTTGTATGACGTGCGATATGTACCGTTCCAAGAAAATTTGAGATTGCGAGAACCCAGCCTATGGAACCTTGACAACGACAACGCTGTTTTAAACCTGGTTAACGTAAAAGAAAGATCCCCTTACTAAATATTTTGATTCTTAAATTTCACCTTTTATCAGGCGGTCAACTTGTCCTTGCTACAAACCATGTGACTATCAACGCCGACTACGTCATTGTCGAACGTGGGGGCCTGATAGACTCGTCAGGTGCTGGTTACCCAGCCGGAAGTGGCCCTGGAAGTGGATCTGGACATACGGGTGGAAGTCATGCCTCACCAGGTGGTAGAGCAGCCTCCGGGAGTCAGTATGGCTCTGTTTACTGGCCCCAAGAACCCGGAAGTGGTGGTGGCTACGGTGCTGGTGGTGGATGGCTTTATATTCAGACCGGAGGTCATGTGATTGTGGAAGGAACAATCAGAGCCAATGGTGTTGGGGAGTCGTCAAGCTCGTCCGGTGGGGGAAGCGGTGGAGCCATCATTGTGAAGAGCTTATTCCTCAAAGGATATGGAACCATTGAGTGTCACGGAGGTCTGTATTAGGATGATTTTAGCATATTTGTAAACGTCCACCAAGTAAGTGATCGAAGAATTCGTTCCGCCTCCATTCCTCACACCAACATCGGCAATTTATTTGAATTTCGCGAGAGGAAAAACACGGCAATTTAAAATATAATATAATTTATAATTACAGTTAGAAATTCTTTAGAGTTGCCACCAGTTAGAAATGGTATCCAGTTAGACTTTAAAATTTTGCTGGTTCTAGATTCTCTCGCTTAAATCATTGTTATCGTAGATTACTTTGGGGTCACATTTTGTGCCAAACGTGCTTTAAACCAATTGAAATAACTTTAGTAGGCAATAATTCAATGTTTGAACCAAAAGCGTAACTGAACTCTCAGCCTTGTCTTACATTTGTTATGAACATGTTAATGTCAAGCGAAGAAATGATCCTCACTTTTGTATTTGCAAATATATACAATTGTAACTAAACCTGAAAAAAAAAAAATTGTTTGTACTTTAAGCATTTGCAAACGAAATTTTAAACTCACATGTGACTATTTCAGGTCCCAGTTATGAAGGAGCTGGTTCAGGGGGGCGTATTGCGGTGAACCTCACAGAGAGCTTCATCTTCGGAGGTGCCTTGACTGCCTTAGGTGGCAGCAGTGGCACCAACAGACATGGAAGTCCAGGAACAGTTTACATTGATGTAAATGTAGGAGAAGAGCCTTATCGCGTGATACAGATTGATAACAACAACAGGGACGATCTGTTGCTAGTGACACTGGCCGAAACGAACACTGCATTTTATCGGTTTGAGAGAATTCACCTAGTCAGGCGAGGAGCACTCGCGATCAAAGAGGTGAGCTAAAAGGTCCAAAATTTATCATATAGGGACCATTCTTCAGCCATTGCTGCTCATGTGAAAACCGCACTGGTTACAACGTAAAATGGGATCATTTTGACATTTTAAAGTCCGGTAAACGGACTTTCATTGCAAAATTAGGGAGACTCTGTTCATTCAAGTGCTAAAACCTTCCCTATATGTCAATGTCAATAGTGAGAAGTTGTTGCTTTACTTGCTGTTTCTCCTCATGATGTCTAGACAGATTAACGTACTGCTGCAGATCATTTTTTTCTCAGTCTAGGTTCCACACCTCTAACATTTACGATACATAGTTTTCAAAACTTGTAATGGTCACTTTTGAAAATTCTTGTTGACTATAGCGTACGAAACGTCAAGTTCTCAATTCAAATGCGTCGGAATACAACGTTTATCACCGTGGTTTGTATTATATTCTTATTCAAGCTACGATGGCCTAAGAACAAGAGTTTATCTTGGTGTATTCTTTAGAACTCTCAAGAGATGTATCTCACATGATACTTCTGGCTGGATTCTTTTTCCACCAAACTTTTAGGTCAAGTCATTTTCTTTAGGACACTTTTTTTATGATTACTAAAATGACTGAAAAATGAAGGAGGACGTTTCTGTGCAGTTTATTAGTGCCCTGTAATCCTCGGGGAAATCCTAGGTTCGTTGTTAAGGATCGTTGTTTACTTTCTTTAAGGTTTCTGGAATGGTTTCAGAACTGTACGCCAGAAAAGCCACAGGTGACAAAACGGGCTTGTTACTTGCGTTACAAAATACCCGGATATACGTTGAGACGCACAGCATTCGCACCGAAGCGCCCGTCAACTACCAAGCGAATACAGGAGGTCAGATTGTACTTCCCGTTCGTACCACCCTACGAGGTACCAGGACGTCAGCTCTGACAGTCAACGGTGAAATCCACGGCATAGAGGAACTAAGATTGTCTTCCAATGTTGCCACCCTTGTAACAGAAAAAGGCCAGTCAGCTTGCCTGGAATGTAACACCACTTACACAACACCTACCATCGGCCATTACTGGTTCAGGAAGCTTAAAATCTCCCTTGGGGCGATCTTTGAAGTGCAGAGTTCGTCCCGGAACATCGCTACCCAATCGGTGCATCTCCATGTTCGTGAAACTGCACTAGACTACACTGGATCACTCAAAGCCGATACTGTCAACGTACTGACGGATTATTTCAGCATTGAGTTTGACGCAACCACCGACGCGTCGTATTCTGGTTGGCCTTCCCAGCAGGGGCCTGGAAGCCTTGGAACCTGCTCAGGAGTATTTGGGGCTGGTCATGGTGGCGCAGGAGGTTCCGGATATTGGACTGGATGTGGGCATTGTCCAAGTAGTTCAACTGCAGGTACGAACATTTGTTCGTTTTGGTGGCCTAACGTGACTGGGGCATCGTCTAAACGCAGAGGGTTAGCAGAGGGCAGACATTTCGTCGGGTCTAAGTCCTTCAAACGAATAATTCGCATTTTTTAAGGATTTAGTTATTGCTTTTATCTTTGTAATTCGACTGTTAGGTTACAATGTTCTAGCAACTGATCATGTATTACTAAAAGCAACATTAATACATTGAAAATTACTATGCTGATTAACGTTCTTCATAGCCCCGAAGTTAGTCATTTCAAGGTGGTTTTTGTAGCCAGGGGCTGGAAATAATATAGGAAGTATATCTATTTCACAGGAACATTGTTCTGGTCAAATATATCTTATTACTGTTAGCTCCTTCACGTCATGACAACGAACGTGTAGACTAAGTGGTGTGTTTACGCCGAAGAATAAGCAGTGCCATTAGAGATGTTGTGTTCTATTTTCTTGTTTCATCTGCATGTATTGTGAGACCCTCTTTATTTTGCAGGTGGTAGCCCTTACGAAAATGTATGTACCGCTGAACAGGCCGGAAGTGGCGGAGGGTGGAGCTCAGCTTCCGGTGGAGGAATCGCGTACGTAAGTGTTGAGAACCTCTTGGAGCTCGATGGTTCAATCAAGGCAGATGGAAGTGATGGAGACACTGGGAGAGGCGGGGCGAGCGGTGGAACTCTTTGGGTTGCTGGGAGACACTTTGAAGGACACGGCCACCTTACTGTCAAAGGAGGTATAGGGAGCTCTCATTCTGAATGTTGCAGTGGCAATCCTTGCCGTACTTGGAAGTATTACGATGGTGGTGGGGGTGGAGGGGGACACCTTCGTCACTTCTCACCCGATCACATAAGGCGGGACGTTATTCGAAACAGGGATGTATCCGGTGGCGCCAAGGGTGGCGGGAGTGCTGGCAACGGATACAATGGACAAATTTGTTCAGACGGTCACCACTGCAGTGGACACGGAACATTTTCAGCTCAACAAAGAAATTGCACGTGCGATGCAGGATATTATGGCGTGAACTGTGGGTACCACTGCGATCCCTCAATCACGTGTCTTGGACACGGACGGTGCGCTGCGTTTGGCGGCTGCGACTGTGATCCCGGCTATGTTGGTTATCGATGCGAACATCACTGTAACGCAACACGTGACTGTCATGGAAATGGACGATGCAGCGTGACTGGAAAGTGTGTGTGTGATCCATGTTATACCGGCGAGGACTGTAGGTACGAATGTTCGGGTAATGGTAGTTGCATTGGCGGCAAGTGCAAATGCAATCCCTGCTTCATTGGAACGCATTGCCATTCTTTATGCTCAGGACACGGCTCGTGCAATAATGATACCTGTATCTGCGACAGTAAATGGAAGGGCGATTACTGCGAAGTTCCCAAGTGTCCAAACGACTGCTCTGGAAATGGCATATGCAACAGTGCCCTTCTCACGTGTTTCTGTAACCCGGGGTGGCGTGGCGACGACTGCAGCCAACCTGACTGTCCAGGCGAGCCGGATTGTTATAATCGGGGGACATGTGCAACCATAAACGGCACCATCGTGACGTGCATTAACTGCTCCATCGGGTGGATGGGCCCAGCCTGCGATGATCCTTGTGTTCATGGTGTTCAAGAACCAATGGACAGTGGATTTTGCAAATGCGAACCTTGCTGGGCTGGGAAAGGCTGTGACTCTCTTTGCATGGGTCGTGGTACGTGTTCGGAAAGCGGCATTTGCGACTGTGATCCTCTCAAAGGCTGGCGAGGTGACGTTTGCGAAGTGCCTGGATGTCCTGGCCTCGGTGAAGATTGTACTGGTAATGGTGACTGCAATAGCGCCAGTCACGAGTGCACGTGCTACCCCGGGTGGGCAGGTATCGGTTGCCACATTCCAGACTGCCCTGGCGCACCCAACTGCAATGACCGCGGGTACTGTAATGCTACTATGAGTCCTCCTCAATGTCAAAACTGCACTCCTGGCTGGATGGGACCTGCATGTGCTGACCCATGCAAGTATGGAGAACAAGTTCCGATGGACAGTGGACAGTGCGTCTGTTGGCCAGGATACTCAGGTAAGAGAAAAGCTATCAGGTACTATCACTATGTAACTTTAAAACTACCGTAATTACGATACTTTTTACTTGAGGTGTGATGTTTCGCGGATTATAGGTGTGATTTGGTTGATATATAGATTTTCTATGGACTGACCTACCAAAATAAATAATTGCTATTTTGGTTTCTTTAAGGTGTTGGTTGTGATAGTGAATGTTCCGAGCACGGTAAAATAGTCAACAACAGCTGTATTTGTGATGTGGGATGGCGAGGAGACCTCTGTGATAACCCAGGCTGTCCTGGTATTGGATCCGACTGCACAGGCCACGGAATCTGCAATTCAGTCACCCACATTTGCACATGTAACGAAGGCTGGGCTGGCCAGGGGTGTGAAATCCCCAACTGTCCAGGATCCCCTAACTGCTTTGAACGAGGACTATGCAACGCTTCTGTAGATCCCCCTAAGTGTCAAAACTGCTCTAAGGGCTGGATGGGACCAGCATGCAATGATCCTTGTGTACACGGTCAACAGACTCCAATGGACAGCGGTAACTGCGTTTGTGAGCCAGGCTGGGTCGGTGTAGGGTGCGACAGTGAATGCTCAGAACATGGAACGATTGTGAATGACAAGTGCCAGTGTGATGTTGGATGGCGCGGAACGTTCTGCGAAAATCCCGGATGTCCAGGAGATGGTGAGGATTGTTCGGGTCATGGCGAGTGTAACAGTGCCCTTCATACATGTATCTGCCAGAATGGCTGGACAGGTGATGGATGTCACATCGCAGACTGTCCTGGAAATCCAGACTGTGCAAACAGAGGTAAAAGTATTCAACATAGTTGAAATTTAGTTTCATAGAGTTTTTTGTCCAGTATTGTATTTGAGAAACAGCTGCTTGCTTTGTACTTTGCAGTCAATTGGGTGAAATTACTTTAATTCAATAAGAGGGTTAGATTGTAACCATTAGATACAAAAAGGCCGTTACCATAGGGAAACTTTGAACGTTTCAATTATGTCGGAGACAATTATTGTTATTTTGTTGTTAGTAGTCTCATGTAAAAGTGAGCCTTGCGAGATAGCATAGCCTTTTACAGTCAGAATCTTTTTTTCTTCTGAAAGACAGACAGGAAGGCAGACCGACAGAGAGACACACACAGATAGGGTGTGGATTCACACAGCAGGTCTAACAATAGTGACTTCATCCTTTTGCATTCTCGTTCATTTTGTCTGTTTATTTTTTCAAGGTTTCTGCAACGAAAGCTCTAATCCTCCGACGTGTACCAACTGTATAGCTGGCTGGATGGGTCCTGCTTGTGAAGATCCTTGCACAAACGGAACACAGGTGCCAATGGACAGTGGAAATTGTGTCTGTGATCACTGCTTCACAGGTCGCGGATGCAATGTGGAGTGCACAGGACACGGAATTTGTGTCGGAAATAAGTGTCAGTGTGATCAACTCACTGGTTGGCGAGGCTCCCTATGTGAAGTGCCTGGATGTCCAGGTTCTAATGGAAGAGACTGCAGTGGAAATGGAAAATGTGACAGTGCAAACCATCAATGCATCTGTCTACCAGGTAGGCAAAGGAGAACATTTGGTTGTGTTATTGCGGAAGGTCTTGTTTGGCAGGATAAAGCATTAACCGAAACCATGGGAGCCTTTCTTGCAGGCATAGAAACAGTCCTCGATGTAAAGCAGTTCAATATTTGACAGACAGTCAACTTCCAATTGGTTCTATGTCTGCATCTGATTTGGCGGGGAAGATTTCATTATCTTCTTACAAAGCTTGGAGAGTTTTCAGTTGATTATATTCATATAATTAAACCACGACAGTATTTTATATTCATATGATTAAGCCATGACAGTAGGAGGTTAATTTGTTCTTCGGTTACTATTCTTGACTGAATACAACTGCACCTAGTGTCCTCTTATAAGTTACAGTTAATTTGCAAATGTACCGTTTTTGTTGATCATGCCTGACACTGGCACGAATCTTGTGGTTACTTTATGGATATATTTTAATCAGCCTGTGAGGAATGCAAATCTTACTACTTTATATCGTTTAATGTCTACTTTTTAGGTTGGACTGGTGTTGGGTGTCACATCCCTGATTGTCCCGGTATTCCAAACTGTTTTGGTCGTGGTCACTGTAACACAACTAATCGCGTGACACCAGAGTGCACAGACTGTATTCAAGGCTGGATGGGTCCAGCTTGCAACGATCCCTGCGTGCACGGTCACCCTAAAGATGGTATATGCGTCTGTGATCCCTGCTTCACTGGAAGTGGATGCCAAAGTGAGTGTTCCGGGTTTGGCGAATGCATCAACAACAAATGTAATTGTGGCCAAGAGCCAGGAGCTGCTGCTATGGGGGAATACTGTGAGCTGCCGGGATGTCCAGGGCAATGTACGAGCCCTGATCATGGTTTTTGTGACACAAATTCTAAGAAATGTATATGCGCGCAAGGATGGGCCGGAGACGATTGTAGCACCCCAGACTGTCCAGGAAAACCGCTCTGTTCTGGCCATGGAAGTTGTAGCAACTCAAATCCAAGAAGGTGCAATTGTGAGCCGCAGTGGGCTGGTGAGATGTGCGAACTGCCTTGCATAAATGGAACAAACTACGGAAACTCTTCAGGCTGTATTTGCGACCCGTGTTTCTCTGGATCTGGTTGTGATCTTGAATGCTCGTTACATGGTAGCTGTGTAAATGACAAGTGTATATGCGATAAAGACATGGGATTCAAAGGTGACGTGTGTGAGATCGAAAGTTGTCCCGGATTCCCATTTGACTGTAGCAATCATGGAAGCTGTAACGGAGCGCTCAAGCAGTGCCAATGCGATCCTGCCTGGTCAGGTCGGGCATGCGATATTCCGGACTGCCCTGGTACCCCTGACTGCAATGCGCATGGCACGTGTATTGCACCCACAACAGACGATGAAACACCAAAGTGCAATTGCTCAAAAGGATGGATGGGCGTAGCTTGTGAAAAACCCTGCAAATTTGGGACTGCAACTAGTGATCATATTTGCGTCTGTGACAAGTGCTACAATGGGGCTGCCTGTGACATGCTGTGCTCCAACCATAGTTCTCAGTGTGTAGATGAACAATGCGACTGTGGGTTTATAGGCTGGCGAGGACAATATTGTGAAAAGAAAGGATGTCCTGGTTACAAGAAAGACTGCTCAGGGCATGGACAATGTCTGACGTCTTTACAAACGTGTATCTGCGATGCTGGGTGGAGTGGTAAGCCTGTTTATTTATGTTTGATATTTTGCCATTATACCTGACCACAACTTGTTGCCTACATGGGAGAGATTATTAGGTGAAGAAAGAACTGGTCAATCCCACCAAGCACTAAACAATAAGGAAACCGTTTTTAATTTTCAATAGCACTCCGTCCGAGCGACCACATCCTAACGAGCCCTACAATTACTGGGAACTGACACATATGGAAAAATTATGTCGTGTGATTTTCCATCTGGTTCTTGGTAATAATTTTGTTGCAGTTTTTGTGCATTGTGCCCAGTGTTGATACTGCGCTGTAGTGCTTCAGCGTAAGGAACGCAACAGCCCTTTAAACCATCGAATAATTACATTGTCTGTTTGCGTTACACGAAAATTAAAAATTAAAAATTTAAAAAAGGCTGTTTTTATACGCTCTTGATTGTGTTTAGATTTATAGGGCGTATTTTTTTATTAACATAGCGTTGAAGTTATTTGCGATTTGCTTCTTTTAGTTTAAGGAACCAACTTTGATCAAATGTGTCGTATTCAGAGTCACCTTTTTAGCCTTTTCGATTGTACGCTCTTGGGTATTGTCATAATGTAATTATTTAGCATCCCACTAAAATACAACGTAACATGCATTTTTCTCCTGAAGGACTCTGCTGTGATTGGTTACTTCTATATCATGTAATAAGTTTCATTTATATGCTCAATAGAAAAGTAAGACAACATTCAGGTAATAACATCTGATTGGCACTTTTCCGTTGCACAGGGATTGGCTGTGAGCAAACTGACTGTCCTGGTGAACCTGATTGCAACAATCGAGGTCAATGTATACCAGCTGAGACTCCTTACTGTGGTGACTGCGAGCCAGGCTGGGCAGGAATAGCCTGTGAAACGCCTTGCGTAAACGGCACTCAAAACAAAGATGATCCAACCCTTTGTGACTGTGAGCCTTGCTTCAGTGGAATAGAGTGCGATGAGTTCTGTTCTTCGAGACCTAATGCCACATGCGTTAATGAGACATGCTACTGTGGTTTTGAAGGTTGGCGTGGACAATTTTGTGAAAAGAAAGGGTGCCCCGGTTTGTTCAACCTCGATTGTTCTGGACGCGGTACTTGTAACAGCGCCACTCAGACGTGTGACTGCAATCCAGGATGGGCTGGACGGGGATGTGAGGAGCCTGCTTGCCCCGGTACCCCAATGTGCGGAGGCCATGGTACTTGTGAGACGTTTGGATTCACATCTTTCTGTTCTTGTGATAAAGGGTGGATGGGTCGAGCCTGTGAGACTGAATGTGAACATGGTACTCCCCAAGAAACAAGCGATGGTTTATTTGTCTGTCAGTGTCATGATTGCTACAGTGGTGTATCGTGCGACCAGGAGTGCTCTGGACATGGCAATTGTACAAATAATACATGCGACTGTGGATTTGAAGGCTGGCGAGGTTCCACGTGTGCCACGAAAGGTTGTCCTGGCTGGGGATCTGACTGCTCTGGCCATGGCTCCTGTATTACTGCTTTAGGTCTATGTTACTGTAGACCCGGCTGGTCTGGTGTAGGTTGCCATATACCCCAGTGTGCAGGCGGTGGAAATTGTAGTGGGCATGGAATCTGTGATGGACTGGCTCACGATCCTCCAGTTTGTGTCTCGTGTGACACGGGTTACATGGGAGAAGGTTGTAACCAACGTTGCATTAATGGCACAGTAATTAAGTCTTCAAGCGGAGATACGTGTGAATGTGGAGCCTGTCATACTGGAGTTGACTGTGGCACGGAATGCAATGGTCACGGCAAGTGTGAACAGGGCGTTTGCGTTTGTGACAGCGGTTGGAGAGGGGCTAAATGTGAAACAGTGGGTTGTCCAGGCCAAGGGGTAGACTGCAGTAATCATGGTGTCTGTTTGCTAGTTACACAGCAGTGCGATTGCTTTAATGGATGGAAAGGAGAGGGCTGTGATGTCCCCGACTGCCTTGGTGTGCCAGATTGCAACGCACTTGGAACTTGCTACGGAGGCGTCGATCCCCCTATCTGTGTGAATTGTACAAACAACACGATGGGTCCTTCGTGTGAATTCCCGTGTGTACACGGCAACGAATATCCACCAAACAGCGTTATTTGCCAATGTGATCCATGTTACACCGGACTGGCTTGTGACATCGAATGTTCTGGACAAGGAACTTGCAGACAAGGTGTTTGTGACTGTGACCCAGGATGGAAGGGCCAAACCTGTGAAACGTTAAACTGCCCTGGAGAACCAGACTGCAGTGGACGAGGAGCTTGCGTGCAACAAGGCTCTCCTGCCACGGCAGTGTGCCTCTGTAATCAAGGATTTGATGGTGATGATTGCAGCAAACTTGTCTGCCCTGGTCAACCTATGTGTAGTGACAGAGGGAACTGTACGCTGATGGGTGACATTCCAACCTGTGCATGTAACCATGGCTTTGATGGGAGCTCGTGCGAGCGTTGCCTACCTCAGTTTACTGGATCTGAATGCGAAAAATGCGTAGCGAACTATATTGGATGGGCAGTTGGCTGCGACGTTTACTGTGTCCATGGCAATGGAACGGGGCAAAACAAAGACATATGCACGTGTCATAATGACTCACAGTTGGGCTACTGGAATGGAACAAGCTGTGACCAATGTGTCTTTGGCTGGGGTTTACCGACCTGTACAGTCTGCGATGAGGCACACGTAGGAGAGAGGTGTAATGTCGATTGCGTCTCTACGCATGCTCAGTATCGTGACAAACTGGACGGAGGTTGGGGTAAACACCCAGTGGAACCCTTTCTGAATTGCCTGTACAACACCGCTCAAGGCGACGTGTTTGCTTGGTTTGGTTACCGGAACAGAAATCCTCACAACGTGTACTTGAACACAGGACCGAGCAACTTCTTCTCGAGGCCTTATCTAAATATTGTTCCAGGTGGATTGAGCGGATTTGTTCGCAAACTCAGTGGCTCTGACAATACTACCAGTAGCCTGATCCCATTATCAACTGAAGATTATGGTCAACCTCAAAAGTTTGCACCGGGTAGACATGACAAAGCTTTTATAGTAAGGTACGATTGAACTTAAATTACGTTCACTTTCACTAGCTGCTGATCATTATTTGTTTGAACTGCATCAGCCATGTGCCGTATACAACTCAGATTTCAACCGTCAAAAGAGATACTCGTTGATAGGTTGCAAGAAAAATGTTGAATTAATGGTTTAAGCCTCATACCTTTTGTTTTGCCAGAATACCTTGAGTTGTTTTTCTCAAGATAAAAATATATCATTAAAAATTTTGGTATTGCCCAGTTAGAAAAAAAAATGTAGGACGCAATTTGTAACAATGTAGTGTTTAACGCTGATGGTTCTTGAAATATGTGTCAAAAGGTCTGTTCTGCTGAGTAGAACAATTTACTATTAGCGATTGCAAATAATTTGTTTTCAGCTAATAATGAGCTGAATTTTTCTTTCCCTCGATTTTCCTTTTTACAGTATTTTAATAATGCTCTACGTGTATCAAAGTTCCTTCTTTTCCTTCACACAGATTGCAAGACTCGTATCCAATAGCCTGGATTGTAGCATTTCCAGTATCCAACGAGAGAAATGCAGCGGTAGTAGATTCGTCTATGGTCCACTCCATGAGATGTACAGACAGTGAGGCTCAGATGAACAATGTAAGTTCGAGTCTGTCAGTGTTGTGAATCCAAATTTTTTATTTCTTGACTCCGTTATCTACTTAAAAACTACTACACCAGTTTTCAAGGAAAACACTACTAGCCACTACATAGCACTTCCCCTGGTAAACTGGAGGGGTACAGATGTTATTTGACAAAGGAAATCAATTATTCCCGTATTATCAAACTATTACGGTGAGGAAAATAAATTGGCATTGACAAAATAAATCATGTGATAAGGATAAAGCGTTTTCACCTTAGTCTCAGGCGAGGGTTGTAAAATCAAAACCAAAGTGACCAGTCACAAATTACTCGGACCATCCTGTGTACCAATCAAAACCCAAAGCAAATATGTCTGGCTGACTTGTAGCTCGGGAAAACGTGAGGGAGTGGGTCACGATTGGCTTTTGTCTTACTCCTGATTGGATAACAAAGAGGCGCGAGTTTTTCAAACCAATCGGTTGGCGTAGTGATGCAAGGCTAAAGTAAACGCGAATTACTTTCGATACTCAAATGAAAACCGTTCTAATGTACCCTACTCCTTTACGCCATACGTCTCTTCAAATATACCCTGAAAATGACACAAATATCGCACGCATCTAACATTTTAAACGGTATCTTTTTTCTCTAGATATCTAGTGAAACCTACACATGTTCATGCAACGATGGACACTGGGGTCTAGCATGTCAGTATGATTGTCCTGGTGGGCCACTTACGCCATGTTTTAACAATGGTCTCTGCAATAAGACCACGGGATTGTGTTCGTGTGACCCTAACTGGCGCGGAGACGTCAACTGCACCACCTGCTCGGACGGTTGGCATGGCTTGGATTGTTCAGTCGTCGTGCAAAGTCCAAACAACCAGACCGCGGCGGCATTTGGACATGGTTACTTCATTACACTTGACGGAACTGGGTACAAGTTCCTGGGAAATGGAGAATATCACCTGATACTGTCTCAGTCGTTAGAGATCCAGGTTCGGATGGTCCCGTGTTTTTCATCGAGTTCGTGTTTCAACGCTGTAGCAATAAAGATCGAACAGAACACGTTGTTGGTCCATTCAAGGTTTGCTAATCAAGAAGAGCCTATCGTGTTTGCCAATGGGAGGAGAACGTATTCTCTTGAGTTCGACTTTGGCCCAGCAAATCAAAAGTTCACGTTTAAACGAATATCCCGGTTACAGTTTGTACTCTCCTCGATTTACGGTGTTCAGCTCATAATCCGCTTGTACGACCGATATCTTGATGTCCACTTACGCGTTGACAATCAGACTTATTGTCAGGCCAGCCAGGGACTTTGGGGCAACTGTAACTCCAACTGGTATGACGATTTATCTAGCAGAGACGATAGACTAATTACAGCAACAAATGTCTCGCAATCATACATTCACGAGCTCTATGGAACGTCTTGGCAAGTAGCAGAGAAGGACAGTTTGTTTGCCTATGACATCAACAACTACCACGAAAAAAGAGAACTTTACGGTGGAGGCTATGCATTGCATTTCAATAACTCCGGTGCGCACACTGGAGAAATCTACAGTTTCACGTCTTCAGACATCACCATCGAATTTATGGTTCGTGCTGAGAGTCAAAACGGTACGCTTCTCTCGTACACCAGCACAAAGATGTTTGCTGTGGTATTTGACTCTGGTAAGATCAAACTACGCTATGAAGACACCACTTTAGACACGCTGGCAGTCATTCACACACACAAATGGAACCATATTGCTCTGGTCTGGTCTGTATCGACTCGAATTCTCCAATTCTACCAATTATACTACAACGATGACGGCGGACAACGAGTACACAGCCGAAACTTTCCCATTCCGAGTAACGTCAATGTGTTTCAACCGGGAGGAACTCTTGCCTTAGGGTACTGCCAGCCAGCACCAGGAGGACTAAAAATACCACTGAAGGAGGGTTTCATCGGACAAATTGATGAAGTGCGAATTTGGAATCAAAAGCTGGACCCGTTTACTATTTCGGCTAACTGGAGAAAAAATCTGGGCTGTCGTCTACCGATTCAAAACCTTGCAAGTCTTTGGAAGCTCAACGAAGGCGATGGCACAGTAGCGCATGACTGTGTGTCCAGCGCCCATATAAGATTTCGATCAGGTATCTGGCAAGGGCCAACATGGGTGTACTCTACAGTTGACATCGCGAACTTTTCAGTTGACATTGAGACCGCATACAGCTTCAGATTTGGTAGCACCTGGATGAATGTACAGCAGACATGTTACAACCTAATCTTTGCTTCGTCGCTGAGATCACAGTACACCGTGCTGAATACTGCAACGCGATGGTTTTATCACATGTCATGCGTAACATCCGTTACCAGAAGTAGCCATTATAGTGATGCTTACTGGCCATTAATGGCTCTATCAGATTTCTATCAACTGTTTGCAGAGCACTCTTCGTGGTATGCTCAGAGCTTGTGTCGCCATGTATCTGTTGTTAACTTCCCAGAGTGGTATGGTGTAAACTGTGCCCAACAGTGCAAATTTGGCCTTCCAGGAAACAACAGCCGTGACAGCAGCTGTGTCTGTATGAAAGGATTCTACGGTGTAAACTGTTCAAGAGAATGTCCCGGTGGTTACAACGTTCCATGTAGCGCCCAATCACCATGCAATAATTTCACCGGAAAATGCTCCTGCCCAGTTCAAGCAAACTCCACTCGTGACTGTAGCGTCTGTTCTCCAGGATGGGTTGGAGCTGACTGTTCTGTGGCACTCGGAGGAAATGTCAGCAATGTAGACAACGTCACATGCCAGGGATTTGGAGCAGCGCACTACACAACCTTTGACGGCGCTGGCTACACTTTTGGCACCTATGGAGAATTTTACTTGATGAAAACCAATGAGTTTACAGCTCAGGTCCGACAAATCCCCTGTATGAGTGGTTCGTTTTGCATTTCATCATTGGCAATGAAAACGGGTTCAACACAGATCACAGTTAGAGCTTCTTACAACGGCAGTGGAATGCCACTAGTCTGGTTCAACCGTAGACTGACAGACACAACATCTCTAAACCTGGAAAATGACTTTATATTTCGTAGAGTTTCTCCACAGACGTATGAAATCAGAAAAGATAGACCTGACAACATATTACTAAGAGTGAAAGCTTGGAAGAAGTATCTTTCCTTCGAGATAACTTCTGCCGGTTCTTTGTGTACTGTTGCTTCTGGACTTTGTTCCTCATGCGACTCAAGCATCGCAAACGACTTTACAAACAGTACAGGTACGGTGTATTGGGGTCATACCATCTCACAGCGTACGATAATTGACATCTTTACCTCCCAATGGACAGTGTCCGCAATTGACTCACTGTTTGTATTTGGCTACACGAGCTATAACGAACAACGAGAAATTACTGTGAATGGATACGCACTGAAGTTTAATGGTACAATTGCTTCCACCGGTCCTCTAAATACCGCTTTCGTAAAAGGCCAAGACTTTACTCTGCAGCTATTTGTTAAAGTTGATGCTCTTGGAGGTACAATCATATCTTATGCAAAAGGATTCACTTTTGCCATCGTGAACGATGTCAGCGTTAAAATTTATGTCGGTGGAGTTTCGTACGACATGGGAATCACACTGCCTCTGGGATCCTGGATTCAAGTTTCTATCGCATACAGTTCCTCTACAGGTAAGAATACCTTATATGTGTGGTTCTTTGTATGAATTTGCAGTCATTTTAATGTAGCTAGATATGTCGTTCGTGTAATTGTACTTCTCCGAGAAAAGGTTTCATTGAAGATTATTGTGTCTTATATACTTTCAATTGCTAACCGTGCTACTTCTATCCCTGGAGAAATGCCTTATCTGTTTGCTCACACGTTCTTTACTATTTTCTTTCAGGTGTTCTAGACTACTACCAGTTAGATGCTCAAGGTGACCTTTTTACCAAACAGACCTACCTAGGACCTGACTTGTTTACTTCCGGTGGCACTTTATGGCTTGGCCAGTGGCACATAACACAAGAACATATCACTGGTGTACCACTGCATCCATTCTTTGGAAGCATAGATGAAGTTCGCATCTGGACCTTTGCACTGGACACTATTCTTGTTCGCCAGAGTTTCCTTGTTGTTATACCAGAAGAATTACCGACGCTAAGTGCCCTGTGGCTTTTTGACGAGGGCTTAGGCAGAGTGGTTAGCAATCGTATATCCGGCTCCTCAGCCATGTTCCTTCCTAAGGTAATCAGCCGTCAACCGTTGTGGCAGTTCTCGTATGTCCGGGATGTGTTTCCATCGATAGTTGTTAGTTCAACTGTGCAGTTTACGAACATCACCTTTGGAATTCTAGCCGATAATCTGTGTTTTGAGCTTATTTACGACACCCAATTACAAACACAGTGTGGTCAGCTACTGAACGCGGCCGTTCCTCAGTTTTACTTCAAGGCATGTGTTTACGATATTCATTCCTCTAGTTCTTTGGACACCGCCTATATTGCATTATCTGCCTATGCAGACTACTGCCAGTCTATTCTCCATCTTCCTTCATGGCCAGCTCAACTCCTGTGTCATCAGTTTCCCAAGAGCTTTCCTCAGGGATGGATTGGTCCCGACTGTTCCTATAAGTGTGTTTTCGGAAATGTAGACAGAAACAATGCTAGCTTGTGTGTATGCAGTCCAGGATACTGGGGTGAAGACTGTGCCAGTGAGTGCCCAGCAGGCGGAAACAATCCTTGTAACCAGCATGGCAAGTGTGACGTCAAGACAGGAGCCTGTGAATGTGATTTGAACTGGCGAGGAAATAACGACTGTAGTAATTGTACACCTGGCTGGACAGGATCTGATTGCGCCGTGGCTGTGGCAGTATCGCAGTTGCCGACATGTTCTGCTTTCCTTGGAGGACACTTTACCAACTTCGACAGCGCTCACTTTAACTTTTTTGGACTCGGGGAATTTTGGTTCGTCAGAAGCGCCCACTTCAATGGCCAGCTAAGACAAGTTCCATGTCACAATGGAGAATCTCGTTGCATTAATGCAGTAGCATTTTCTTTCAAGTACGGATGGAAAATAGTATTTCACGCACCATATGAGGAGACCGAGCGGCCGGTTATTTGGATAAATGGAAGTGTGACAGAGTACAGTTCAACAACGCTTCAAATTGCCAGTGAAGTCTTCTTAGAGCAGACATCTTCAACTACATACGTTCTTAGCAATGTACTAGAAGATCTCAAGTTTCAACTTCGAGTTTCAGGAAGAGGACTTATCATTGCAGGCCATGTTGAGCAATCGCTGTGTAACGGTACAAATGCACTGTGCGGAAACTGCGACGGAAACAGAGACAACGACTTCAATGTGACAGGTGGTGGTTCTCTGGAAGAAACGTGGCGAGTTTCTATCGACGAAAGCCTCTTCTTCTACCACTATGGAACTTACAACGAAGAAAGAGTTACAACAGGTGCTGAATACGCCTTAAAGTTCAAAGGGGTTGGTGTTTGTAGTGATCTCATGCCTGAAGTCTTAAATGCTTCTGTCATTACCGCAGAACTCCTGTTTAAGATGTTTACTGGACGAAATCCTGGAGGTGTACTCTTAACCTACAGCAAAACAATAACGCTGACAGTGTTTATTCAGGTAACCCTAAAAGTACGCATTGGGGTGGAGATCTGGGACACAGGTTTTTCTCCAGAAGTTGAGGCCTGGAACCGAGTCACCCTTGTTTACTACAACAGCACTGGGGCAATACATTTTTATTACATCAATTCCATTGGTATTGTTCGTCAAGCCACAGGAACCATGAGTGCCGGTGCGTTATACACAGGAAGCATGATCTCCATTGGGCAGTGGATACCAGCTCTTGAAGGGAACACAGCGGAGAACGATAAACTGCCAGGTTTTGTTGGATTGATCGATGAGGTACGCTTCTGGAACCGTGAATTTAGCCTGCAAGATGTCAAGACAAGCTGGAGAGTAAACGTGATTTCTAGCGCTCTTCATATTGCAATTTTGTGGAAGTTCAACGAAGGACAGGGTGACGTCATACACGACCTGGTGAGCGGAGTCCACTTGTACATTCCATCCGTACGTAGGGCACCTAAATGGATCTTCAGTTACGCGAATGTTAAGATTCTTCCTGTAACCACTGAAATAAAGTTCAAAACGAGCGACATGAGAATCAAAGCAGAAACGTGGTGCCATGAAAACATCCAGGAATCACCTGTTGGTATCGCCTGCGGCGGGCTTGGTGGTGGGACAGTAGCTTTCTATGTAAGAGCTTGTTTACGAGTCATTGCTTCAACTGGTCAGGTATCCTTTGGATTAAATGTCGTGGTGGCTTTTGCAGACACGTGCCAAGTACAAGCTAACCTAACTGTGTGGCCAGCGCAACAGATGTGCAAGTATGAAGTGTTCCGAAATTCAAGACTCATGAACTGGATAGGAGTGAATTGTGACATTTCTTGTCTCTACGGATATCAACCTACGGGATTGGTTGGAAGTTGCAAGTGTGACCGGGGTTTCTGGGGACAGCTGTGTGGTGGAGTATGCCTTGGTGGACCTGTGAACGTATGTAGTGGGCATGGACGTTGTTTAGGTGGTAGTGGAAGATGTCGCTGTAGGAGAAGGTGGCGCGGAGCACTTGACTGCAGCCAGTGCACTCCTGGTTTCCTTGGTAAAGACTGTTCAGCTTCTGTTACAGCACCTACGGAAGAGCTCCCAATAACGTCGGTCTTTGGGACCGGTTACTACGTGACTTTAGATGGCGTCAAGATCAACGTAAATGTAGCTGGTGAATTCAAGGTGTTGGCCTTGGTTCGTTATGGACTCAGCATCCAGTTTCGGCAAGTTCGAATCGGAAGTTACGTACGTGTAAGATGTGTAATTGTGCGTGTAGGGGATAATGTGATGGCAATCCACAGCAGTATTGGAATCGGGGGCCAGGTCTTGGTTACACTCAACGGCTCCCCTGTCAGCTACAAGAGCGTGATTTCACTTGGAATTTCAGGATTTGTGTTTAAACGGACGTCCCTCAACAGGTACGTGGTGACTGGTCCAGGAGGTTTCAACTTTGTTATCAATTCCCTCACAGTACACTTCGATGTCTCCATAACAATGAACAGATGGTTGTGTCAAGAAGTCTGTGGTCTCCTCGGGAGGTGCCGCGACCCTGAATCAAGCGTGCTGCCCTCAAACTGCACAGCTGGAGGAATTTTAGATACGCATGATATATCAACTGTAACTCAAGACATCTTGATCTCCTACGTGACCTCGTGGTCTGTCCCTCGAAACGAGAGCTCTTTTGGTCCCATACTAAACATCTCTGGCGAATCACTATCGACTAGCGAAGGAGGAAGCTGTCTCTACTTTAATGGCACGTCTGTCATCACTGCACCTCTGGTGAATGTTTTTGTTGGTAATTACATCACTATCCAGTTCTTTGTGAAGGCAAAGGATCCGCGTGTGTACGGTGGTACTATTATTTCATACGCCCTCAGTGAAACTTTTGCAATAGCTGTGAATATGACTGTCATGATTCACTTTGGTACTACAGTCATTGACACTGGACTTGTGCTTGAAACAGAGCTTTGGAACCACATATCATTTGTCTACAGGCGGAGCTCGGGTCTTGTTCAGTTCTACCTCATTAACTCAATAGGCGTCATTCAAACAAGAGTCTTCTTCGTTGGTGTAGGAATATTTGCCGAAGGTGGTACCTTAGCCATTGCTCTTTGGCAGGTGACCAAAGTGTCCCTCTCCCTGCCTGGCTTTGTGGGCTGGGTGGACGAGTTGAGCTTCTGGAACAAACGATTCGATTCTGTTATGATACAGCAAACCTGGAATACCAATCTCGTAGCAGAAACACCAGGGATTGCGCTCTTATGGAAGTTCGATGAAGGAAGTGGCTTTGTGTGTCGCGCGACAGTAGGATCGTTAGATTTTAGTCTTCCTACCCCGCCCTGGAGAAGCCCAATTTGGTATCCTTCCGATGCCATTAAAGAAACCAACGTTTTCATCACATCAGATCCCTCTGAAGAAGAAGCTGACAACGTAACCCAAGAGCTGTGTTCAGATATTTTCCTTAAAGGTCCTCTATACAATGAGTGCTCAAACGTGACTGGAGGATCCGAATTTTACTACGAAGCTTGCATTTCCGAAGTGTCTACGTCAAGAAAGCTCGACTCAGCTCTTACAACAGCAGCTGCCTTCGCAAAGGAGTGCCAAGCCGCCCTGAACCTTTCAACTTTGCCGGGAGCAGGTCTTTGCAATATTCTTCCAGGAGGACGTTATAATGATTGGGTTGGAACAAACTGCACAACTAAGTGTATCGTTGGACAATACTTTGATGGAACGTGCAAATGTGACAGTGGGTACTGGGGGGTGAACTGCTCCAATGAGTGCCCAGGAGGAGCTGGGAACCCTTGTTTTGGAAATGGACAATGTGATGTAGAAACTGGTGAATGCAAGTGTCATCCAAATTGGCAAGGAAATGAATACTGCTCAAAATGCACCCCAGGGTGGATAGGCAAGTCGTGCTCTGTCGCGGTATCGACGACAGATCCCAGCGTTGCAAATCAGACTTCAAAAGTTTGTACCATATCTGAGAGAGGTTATGTCACCGGCTTCGATGGCTCGCTATTTACTTTTGCAACACTAGGCGAATTCATCATGATAAATTCCTCCATCCTTCAAGCGCAAGTCCGACAAGTACCTTGCGAGAAGAGCTCTGTGTGTCTTAATGCTGTTGCTGTGAGATTCAATGGACTGTCCATTAGTGTCCATGCGGCCTACGAAAGTGATTCATTGCCAGTCGTGCACGTTAACGGAGAACCAATTAATGCTGGCGGAGAGCTCACCAAAGATATGCTGAGAAACAATGTGACCATTCAGCCTATATCCAATACCGCCTACAGGATTGTTATTTCGCAGTATTTGTCCATACGAGCGGTCTTTACAGATCGATACCTAAGCGTGGAGTCAACTGTATCTACTACCTTCTGTCAGATTGTCGATGGCTTGTGCGGCTCTTGTGCCAAACTACAACCGGGGCAAAATGATACTCAACGACCTGAAC